TAACATACATATATAACTATAAACATACATACAAATAATATGATAATATATATTCTATCTATATTATAAATTCTATCCTTAAACAACAATACAGTTATATTATGTTATGTTATATCATGTTATGTTATATCATGATTTTATGTTATATCATGTTATGTTATATCATGATGTTATGTTATATCATGTTATGCATTTATTTATATCAATAAAAAGGACAACGACGATATCTTGAACACGCAGCCAACTCCGTAACTAATGGAGAAACAAGACTATAAACTGGTGTCAGAATAGTTTGGTAGAATACACTACAGGAAATATACGTGATCAAAGGCGAGCACTAGAATGACTAATCAGAATGTGGTAAATATAATTATTTAAAATAATCAAAAGCACAAATTGAAATTAATAACATAAATATAAAAACATTAATTATCAACAATAACAATTTATCTAAATATCAATAACAAGCTTTTCATCATCATCATCTTTTGCTTCATCATTAACATCTTCATCACTGGAGAAACTGGATCGAAGAAGACTAGAGTCTGAGGTCTCTGATTTAACAGAAGATACTGAACTAAGACTTGTATCACTGAGAGTATCGAGGTGGCGAAGATCAGCTGAGAATAGTTCTGAGAAGGAATCAGATTCTATGGTTGATTTGGGTGATGCTTCTGGAGTACTGGTAATTAGTATTGGTTTGGTGAATGTTGTAGGCTGTTTGCTATATACAGGAGAATCGTGGGTGATATATGGTGTTGGTAAATATGGCAGATTGGTAAATGGTGAAGGTACTGGTGTCATTGGTACTGGATAGTTACCTGAAACAGAAAATATGTATAATATAGTGCTTCGAGATAAATGTTAAGAAATGATAATATTAATATCTATATTTTTCAAGAAGGCAAAATACCATAATCTTGGTGGAAAGCCTGTTCAAAATAACAATATTAATGGATACGGAGACCATATCTATGAATCTATGAAAGGAAAATTGCAAACCATCGTGAAATAAGATAGAACTTACCTGGAAAAGGGTAAGTGTAGCAACCATAATACGGAGTCGGTTGAAATGGATAACGGGTAGTAGGATAGTATCCAGGAAGGTTGTTCAAATGATATGCTGGTTGTGGGCATAGAACATCTTCCCGAGCTGTTGGTGAAACTGATCCTGTTGAGGAGAAAGAACTATCCTGGGATCTTGGTTTAGTTCTTCTTCCTCGAGATCGTCGATTCTGGAACCAGACTTGAATCCTGGATTCAGCAACACCAAGTTGTAGTGCGAGAGTTTCTCTTAGAGTGATATCAGGATATCGATTGACCATAAAAACATCTTCTAATCTAGTGATAGCTGTCTCACTAAAAGCGGTTCTTCCTCGTCGAGATCGCGGTCGGTAGTCAGACTTTAGTGAATCTTGTTTCGTTTTGGAATCTGGAAAAATACATAATAAAAGTAAAGTAAACTACATTTCAGTTGAATTAACGACATCAGAAATGAAAAATTTTGCTACGTTTAAAATGGAAGCTCTCATAATAATTCGATTGTTTCTTTGAATCCGAAGCAAGTGGCATGATATTATTATGATCAGACGCCAACGTTATGATGAAGATTACTAATAAGCATAATAATCACTTTTGGTGTGATCAGATGTAGAAGTTGCAACTGAACAATGTTAATAGTGACTCTTACTAACCTTGAGTAATTCCTAAAATAGAATCAATAGTAAATTGAGACATGATGATGAATTCAGATAACAGGAGTAAACACTAGTAATAAGATAGGTGATATGTGTTCACCCTGATTCACCCCATTTTATACCCCAACAAATTACAGTCCCTAATTCACTTTAGGATTTGTTTAATCAGCTGTTAATCCTCGCTCTACCTGATTCCTTTAATCTGTTTTAATCTCAATTAATATTAAAGATATTATTGTCACTCAGTGGGTTCTCTCATGTCTTGATGACCAAATAAAAGATTTTAATGATAAAACAATGAAATCTAATCACTGTCAAACTACTAATTAATTATTCTATTATAATTATAATGAAGCCATGATAAACTTCATCATCATAATCTCATAATATTATTTTAACTCAATGGTTTCCTAATCTCTTACCAGAAATTAACAAAATTATTATTGTTTTCCTATCAAATATTACCAGATTATGGCGGAAGTGACACGTGCATGCTGTGGAAGGCATGTTTCGAGCTGAGATCGAAACTGAAAACCTTACTGGTCTGTTGTATAACTCACTGGCCGCATCATATAGCACAACCAATCCAGCTATACCACCCAATCTATCATAATTTGAACGGAACTAACTGGACTAAATGTGTAAAGGACAAAATGAAATACTTTTCTGCACCATGTGGGCTAATGAAGACGGGCATCGCCATGCAGGGTACAATGAGGGAAACTTTGTCAGGACAGTGCCATTAGCCTGCTCTTTTTCGGTTTTCAACTGTCGAGTAAGCGTCTAACTCACTGAACCTGAGAATTTCAATGGTTTTGGACAAATGTAAATGCAATTAAGATATATTGTAAGCTACATTCAAAAAATATACGCTATTTGACCATTGCGTTTTGCCCATAATATATTTACATAACAGAAAAATATCGTTAACAACCCACGCAATGAAGATAATACTTCCAAAACGACGACACAAATCAAACATGACCCAATCTCGACAACATTCTGATAGAGATACAATAAAAAAAATTAGGAACCTGCAGAAAGTCCATGTTATTACTACATCTTCTTCAAACATATTCCAATGACTTAACTGGAGGTTCTAACAATACATTATAGCTGGATATAGGCAATTACTTAGTATAAAACATTTCATTTCATACAATAGAACAAATAAACTAATGTTTGACAGTAAAATTGTAACTGACGAAGTTGGTAATGAATTGGGTGTCGGCATCGGGTGCTTTTAACTTATTCACCTTCAGAGTGATGATGTTTATTGGGTATTAACGTACTAGTTTTCCATTGTATATTGTTAATATCGAACCTAATTTGTGGTAAATGTTTCATCGTGAATATAACAAACTATTAGCATCAGTGGATAATAATCAAACTCACGAGTTTATCGCCTATTGTACTCCATGTAACTTATTAACATTCGACATTATTGGATTTAGTTAATTCTATGTTATCATCCATAAGCTTAAACATGATAAATATTAGTTTATGATAGATAATGGACGGCATTAATATTATCAAGTTCATTATTCAATGGTTGAGTTTGGCCATAAAAACATATCATATTCATTCATGTAATATGCAACACGTTAAATTACTGTTATTCAAGTTAATGGAAATGACAAATTCATGTATTTCATATCGAAACAATTTGAAGGTTGAAAAGTATGGATGTAGATTACTTGTTGTATAAGTAAATTTACATTGATTAACCATATTTGGATGCTCAAAGTAAATGTATTAAGTTGGTAGAGGGATTAATTTAATAAGATATCGTGCGTGACCGCTTGAAACCTCGTATAACGATATATGACGCGGAATTAGTTTTCGAGAAAAACGCAAAAAACTATTTGTACGCGTATTTTGTTAAAATCTTTTTATTATTTTTTTTACCGTTATACGTGGTTTCCATTCTTGGAAAATATAAACCTCGTATAACAATTCGATATCTCTGGCCTATTGAACCAAAAACTTGTATAATACTACAATATACGAGGTTTTTCATTTTCATCCGCAGAAAAGGAACATTTAACCTCGTATAATAATATATTTTACGAGGTTTTAAATCTGACTGTTTATATCACCCACGATATTAGTTTAAACAATATTTATTTCAAATCAGTGTATAAACAAATGTACACATCACAAAAATGAGACAAGTATAAAGATTTATAAGTCTGTCTTGACTGTAGATATTTCCAAATTTGTTTATGAAAAAGAGAAATAGTACCAGCGTTATTTTATATACATGTACATTGAAAGCTAAACATAAACAAATAAAAATATTTACAGAAAGGGGTTAAATTAGGGGTCGCATAAATTCATTGGTGATTAAAATACGATACTCAATATTGACAAAATGAAATAATGAAGTGATGAGGGTGTCCTACAAAGATAGATAAAAAGATATTGACGAATCACACAGCATGAAAACATAAATTCCATAGCATGCACGTGTCACTTCCGTCACAATCTGGTAATATTTGATAGGAAAACAATTATAATTTTGTTAATTTCTGGTAAGAGATTAGGAAACCATTGAGTTAAAATAATATTATGAGATTATGATGATGAAGTTTATCATGGCTTCATTATAATTATAATAGAATAATTAATTAGTAGTTTGACAGTGATTAGATTTCATTGTTTTATCATTAAAATCTTTTATTTGGTCATCAAGACATGAGAGAACCCACTGAGTGACAATAATATCTTTAATATTAATTGAGATTAAAACAGATTAAAGGAATCAGGTAGAGCGAGGATTAACAGCTGATTAAACAAATCCTAGAGTGAATTAGGGACTATAATTTGTAAGGGTATAAAATGGGGTGAATCAGGGTGAACACATATCACCTATCTTATTACCAGTGTTTACTCCTGATATCTGAATTCATCATCATGTCTCAATTTACTATTGATTCTATTTTAGGAATTACTCAAGGTTAGTACTATTCACGATGGACATCGTTCAGATGATACTTTTCTCGATAAACTCTGATCATAGTATTCAACTTCTTCCTTCTTTTAAAAACTGACAATAATTTATGCGAAAATGTTTACAGTTGATACTATCATAACAAAATTTACAACTCGGTTAAAGATTTGGCTTCAGACAAGTTACGATTGGTGTCTCTTTTCAGTTATTAGCACTGAAAATGTAAAAATCTAGTTCAATTTTAGTTTTCTACAAAATCAATAATTTAACTATCATATTTGAATTACTTTATATTTCCAGATTCCAAAACGAAACAATATTCACTAAAGTCTGACTATCGACCGCGTTCTCGACGAGGAAGAACAGCTTTTAGTGAGACAGCTATCACTAGATTAGAAGATGTTTTTATGGTCAATCGATATCCTGATATTACTCTAAGAGAATCTCTCGCACTACAACTTGGTGTTGCTGAATCCAGGATTCAAGTCTGGTTCCAGAATCGACGATCTCGAGGAAGAAGAACTAAACCAAGATCCCAGGATAGTTCTTTTTCCTCGACAGGATCAGTTTCACCAACAGCTCGAGAAGATGTTCTATATTCCAGCCCACAAGCAACATATCAGTTGAACACCTTTCCTGGTTACTATCCTACTACTACTTATCAAGTTCCATTGACGCATTGTTATGGTTATTACACTCACCCTTACCTTGGTAAGTTTCTATCTTATTTTGGACTGTTTGCAATCTACCTCTTCCATAGATATTTGACATGATATGATCTCAAAGGAATATTGCTATTAATTATTACTTGGCACTCATCTCGAAGAATTGAATTAAATAAATTCTTTTCTGTTTCAGATCACTCTTACTATCCAGTACCAATGACACCAGTACCTTCACCATTTACCAATCTACCATATTTACCAACACCATATATCACCCACGACTCTCCTGTATTTACCAACCTCTCCACAACATTTACCAAACCAACACTAGTTACCAGTACCCCAGAAGCATCACCCAGATCAACCATAAAATCAAATTCCTTCTCAGAACTGTTCTCAGCTGATCTTCGCCACCTCGACACTCTCAATGATACAACTCTTAGTTCAGTATCTTCTGTTAAATCAGAGACCTCAGACTCCAGTCTTCTTCGATCCAGTTTCTCCGATGATGAAGATGTTAATGACGAAGACAATGATGATGATGATGATAAACTTGTTATTGATATTTAAATAATTTGTTATTGTTGAAAATTTGTGCTTAATTTATTTGTAAAATTTGTATTTATTGTTGTTTAGTTAAATTAGTGCTTTTGATAATCTTTAGATAAACAATTATTTGTACAACATTAAGTTTCTTTGAAATTTTTTTATTGCTATTGACTCTACTAAGCATCAATGATCTGAAGAAATACTTATCCATTTCCTGTTCTGGCTCATTTAACATTCATTCAAACCCACGCAGTTGTTCTGTAGGTTCTGATTTTCTGTCTTCATCCTTGGTAATAGTTTAATGTCTTTAATGTACTTATGGTTACATTTCAAATCAAGAATTTTCATCTGGTTGAACATTGACTATTGAAACCTTAAACATAAAATTGGAAACAATTCCGTAATTCGAGATTCCGGGCATTTTGGCATTCACGCGAGAAAGAAGAACATGTCACCACATACCAATGACTAATTTATAGCATATTATTTTAGGCATTGCCAGAAACAATGTGCCAAAGTTTCACTATAAGGCTTCTTCCGGTTTCCAGCCTAATCTATAAAATTAAAACTCCACTGAACCAAATAATGACCAGTGGCAACTCAAGGATTGAAACATGATCTGGAAGTAATTATAATAGATGCAGGAAGTAAACTGGTATATTGAGCAAAACGATGACCCTTCATTAAAATGCAGATCTAACCCTTTCATGTGCTTTGGTTTTTGTGTTGGTGTTTGTCTGTTCGTAGCCCATAAAATGGTTTTCATCATTTGTTTAAATTCTTTGGTCACAAAATGAAACAGTAATTTATTGTTTAAAAGGAAGGGAACGGAGTCCAGAAAAATGGTCGCTCTGTTTACTGAACTGTTTGTTTTCTAGGATAATCTAACATTGATAAAAGGGAGATAACACGTTTAAATACGAATAGTATTGATGTGGATACTAGTTACGTGAAACAACATTTCTACAGTCTTCTTTACTGTCCATGTTTTGCTATCGAAGACGAGTGTCTCTATACTGTGCGTGGCAAGGGAAATTTTACTTAACAACTTTACATGCATGTCAACAGACGGGGTCTCGGTTTATTCTCTCATCCAAAAGAATCCCAAATGATGATCTTCATTAACCCTGGGAAAACCCAACAAGATCGAACCTTGGACAATAGGCCCACTAAGGCATTCGACATCTTGCAAAGACTAGTAAAACATGTGCTCCACTACATGTTATACAAGCACCTATTTGAGCGAAGATACTGAACGAAACAAATGTAGATAACGTTAAAATCAATAATCTAAAAAAAAAGGACAAAGAATATGACCTTGAATTTTAATATAGTGAGATTTTTTTGTTTTTATCCAAAAATGATAACTAAAGATATAGCTTTAATTAACATATATTATCTCGCGAAATAAGGAAATGATCTATTGTCATGCTAATTGTTAATAATTCTCTGATAAATAATTGTTTCAATTTTTTTTAGCTCCATCGTAATTGAAGAATCATCACCACTTAAGTAAGAATTAATTTGGTTAAGAGACTTCTAAGTTGTTGAAGAACGGTTTAAGTTTGGTTTAACAATCACTCAAAATATGGATTTTCGTTCGGGAATGATTCTGCTCTGCACCTTAACGATTGTGTTCAGCACAGTCGCTCAAAATATTGGTATTAAACGACATATGGGAATTGTCGGAAGGTCTGAAATTCTTGATAGACAGCAACCGGCGGAAAGGTTGAAAGAAGAACATTTCGAAAACGACAGACATGCCGCATTAACAGATGAAGAGGATCTGAAACGTTTACAAGTACAAATTGTCAGACAAGTTAAATCAATAAAAATGTTTGCCCAGGGATTGGTGAATTTGATGGATTCCAGAATTGATGCTTGGAACAGAACTATAATAAAATTACGCACAGCAACTAGGCTTGTGATCAACACAACTCAAGCGACCGCAACAAATGAGACGTATATTGCAGCCATGTTTAAAATGAACTGGGAGGATGTATTGATGAGGAAAGAATCAGAAGACGTGGGTGATGTTCCAGAAGAGTTATACCAGCATCAACTAGCTGTAGAAGTAGACGTAATCCGACAACTGGCGATCAGAGCCTTAGATGGTACGACGAGACGGATAGCTAATCGAAGGAACGCAATGAACGCCGTTGACGAAAGGAATTAATTATCAATGAAGTGAAATGATAGTCAAGCTGTCAAAGATATGTGAACATTACGGTGACAATTTCCAACATAAATACAGAGAGTCTAATATATTTTGTGTTTATAACAACAGACCTGTACAAAAGCAAATCATATATTTGTGCACGTCTGGGCATTATTATTCTTATTTTAAATATAGACAGAACAAGACAAAGTTATATTGTTTAAATTAATACAGGACTTCCTTTCTCTCTTTCTTTATCTTCATCTTTATAGGAACGCTCTGTTAAACCAGAAACTTCTCGACTCTATTCTCAGATGTTTTAATCTCATGAAGATTTACTGGTATCACAGATACTGCAGATAAAGTACGGGAAATTTATATGGTGTAAATAGACGGTGTAACAAAAAAGTGCAAACTAGAGAAAAAAAAATCTGGTACACCAAAGCGCAAACAACGATATGCAAGAACATACAGCGGTCAAAAGCGGTTTACGCGTTGTTGCTCTTGTTTGCAATTTTTCAGTCTGACCCCAAATCGAAGCTATCTAAAGGTCAGTACAAACTTTTGATTCTCTTAAGAAGAATATCGAATTAAAGGGATTGTGAAGAGGTTTTCTAAATTTTCTATGTGTATCAGGGACACTGATGGCGCCAATTTGCACCTTTTTCCAATTTTCAATCAGACGCCTGCAATTCCATTTAAGTTAACGTTTCATCCCGCGAAATTTGCTTAAGAAGAATTGCAGAAGTCTGATTGAATATTAGAATGACGCAAATTGATGCTATCATTGTCATACACATACAAGATTTAGAAAACCTGTTAACAATCCCAAGACCTATACCTTGATGAGAGGAAACAGTAAATGAATGATAGCGCCCCCGTTATTCCAATAGTTCCAACTTGCTAACCAACTAGAGTTGTTTCTGATAGATTATTCTGGCGAAGAAAGAAAGTTTCAGACTCTCTGTTTATGTATATAAAAAGAACCAAATTGTAAATAAAAATTTCAGTTTATATATATATATATAATAACAAATAATGACATGATATGATAATGACAAATATATGAATGAAAGTATGGAGTAGCTGCCATAAAAATTATTCTGTATCAAATACAACATGCTTGCATCATTTTAATAACAATAGTCAATTTGATGATGGGGCCATTGTAACTTTAGCATTAGGAATTGTTCTGGAGCAGGGGATCATCAATTATATAGGCTTATATTGAAATGTACCTGGTGTTCACAGAATAAATAACATTCAGTTTTAATATCAAAACATTAATAGTCCCTTGCTTGCTTGAAAAACACCCTATCTGAATAAATATTGTACTAGCTATAATAATGAGATATCTCAATAAATATCACTGTGCAAATCATCACCTATATAAATTATTGTATATCACGTCAGAGCACCTGTTGTACAATATATACCAGCTATCTGTTTACTCTGAGCTAGTCCAAGATTTCTGGAATAAAATGAAAGTATATTCATCTCTATTTGACAATAATAAACACTTTGAAGGAATTTTCACAGTTTATTTGACACCTACTGCAGTTCCAATAGATTAAGCAAGATTTAAGAGAGATGAAGGGGAAATCAAGTCTGACTGTGAAGTTGTCAATAGTTAAAGTTCAAGTAAGTACATTTTTTTTGAAAGTTTTAAAACTGTCAACCATGTAAAGTTCAGGTTCCATCCAATAATAAAAGATTATAGAAATATACTTACCGTGTTAATTTTCCACATTTAATTCCGGCCAATAATTGTTCTTTTTCCTTCAACCCACGACAGCCAGCATACGCTTCCAGTAAACTAAAATAGAAAAAAAGTTGTTCTTTTATTATATAATTAAATAATTCTGGCTATGTTCTATTTGAAAATGCTATAAGCTTTAAAAAAAATTACTTAAAATGTTAAACAAAATGAAATACCTGATTGGAGTAGGATAATTATCTATAACAGCTTTAGCTTTATCAGCTGACATACCATTGAGTTGTATTAACTGTTTACCAAACATCTCACTTACTGTTAAAGCCTATAATGGGATAAAATATTTTCATTAGAAATATGAAATGAAATGGAGTTTTACATTCTACTTTTTCTTTACCTGCTTATTTTGCAGCAGCTATAGCCTACTCATTTTTGATTGTCAACTGTTGAAAGATCTTTCTGTACACAGTCTGGAGCACACTGGATCTCAGTTTATTGTCCTACTGCATCATTGATAAACCTGAAGGTATTTTCTAAAGTTTGATTCACTGAGCCACTGTAGCTCCTTTTTTAACAGGCACACAAGCATTTTAAAATTATCTAATTAGCACAAAAGACCAAAATCTTGCACAAATTATTTAATAATTCAATAAATTTGGACATAGGAATCTTCTTATGAGCACCACACTTTAAATAATTGAATCCTTTTCTTACCTTACTTTTAACTGAACCTAAATTAAAGTTTTGAAAGGGCATTAGATAATGATCTGTATTGTTAATATCAAACGGTCTGTTTAATTCTTTAACTACATCAGGACTGCAGGTATGTAGAGTTTTATTCTGAAAAAAATACAATTTCTATACATTTTTAGGGAAAATTGTCTAAGATGACACAACAGTTTCAATGAATAGCTTTTTAAAATTTCAGGAATTAAGTGAAAATAAAATGCAAATACTGTGATATATAATCAGATAATATCTGTATGTTATAAATATATAATCTATATAAAGTTATCTTTCAACCTCCTTAATCTCTATATAATGTATCAATGATACATTACATTATTCTGTGGCAGTAGAAATTAAAGGGCTTAGTCAGGTAATAAACTCATCAGAATGCATTGAAAACAAGTCCAACTTAAACATCTGGATTTTCTTCAAAAATTATTTTGTTATAATGAAAAAGGCAATTCTATTTTCTCCTAATGAGTTTAAATGGAAATTTTAGTAGGTTTGAAATTCCTTATGTGAATTAAAAGAGGGAGTTATTTTTTTTTCATATTATTAATACACTTGTGGTTCTCTTTGCAATGAAATATGACAAAATGTTCTGTAATTCTTTGTAGAAATTGCGCAGTAAAATTAACTGCTGAAATAATAATAATATCACTATACCTGATAGTAGTTTTGTAAATATCTGGTCATAACAGTTAAATATACCACAGACTCTTTCGTATCCTTAACTCTTTTTACACCAAAACCATCTATTACCTAATAATATTGTATATAGCATTTCAACAATTTACATTATCATATTTCATACACCTTGGTTTCATTGCATACAACTTTACAATTTTCCTTGTCTTTTCAACAATTTATAACAGTTATTATAAGGAAGACAGCATAAACCTGGGTATTGTTTCTCACAAATGACCTATAGGAAAGAAGTTAAAATCAGCTTTGTTGAATTTCAGTCATTGAAGACAAATAGAACAAAATTGGCAGCCCTTGTCCTTCGTCTGTTATTGACTTAGCCAATGACGTGACTTAAAGAATACCTGAGTGTTGGCAATAGACTGTTTGATTCTGTCTTCACCAATACTAAAATTCTGCATGGAACCATAATTTTCTATCAGAAATATAGCATTCTTCACACCACAACGCTTCAAACGGAACTAAAATGTATTTCAAATCCTTAACAAAAATGTTAGAAAAAAAATCTCTTGGGCTTACTCACAAGACTCTGGCATAGATTTGTACAGACATTTTTTTTTAGCTGACTTTCTCTGGTGAAAATAGACCAAAGATATTTGCTGGGACACTTTTCAAAAAACTTGTTGTAAACTTTTATATTTTAGTTTTCATCCAAACACAAAGTCTTGGCCAAACACTTTAGTACTGGTTTGAAAGTCATCTTTGAAAAAACAAAACAGCCAAAACATCAGCCATGATTCAAATGATGACTGGACTCACGAACCAGATGAAAGAAATAAGTTATCAATAAATAAAAGAAAACTACTTTTTGATCCTGTAGTCTACCATCCACCATACTACCGACTAAATCATCCATTCTCTTTCTCTCTACAATATAATCTAACACCAGTTCTCTCCCCTCTCCTTGCCTTAATTGGCCTGTAAACAAAATAATAAAATGTAATATCAACAAGGGTGATCTTGTATCATTGTCATGAGTATGTTGTAACCAGGGCTGTTCTTGATATGTTGCCACAAAAGCTGGCTCTTTTAAAAAAATATGCATGATAGTCCAAAATAATACACATTTTGTAGCTTTAATTGATCAAACATAACTCGCACGTGTGAATTTTGTGCATCAGTTAATCCAAACAGTACTAACCTGGTATATGAGGAACCTTTTCTCTGGCTATCCAAACTAAATCTCCAACATGTAGTTCTCGTAAATCACAATTCACCTTATTCTTCATCAGATCCGGTAGTAGAATTTTAGTTTTTGATTTACTGCTGTAAAAGAAAATAACCAAAGTCAGTTTGTTTATCAATTGGAATGACACTTATCTCTACAGTAATAGAGAAATTCAACATCAAATTCTATATTTGCCCTCATGCTGTTTCTTTTGAACAATGTTCACTAAGTGCTGTACAGAACAAAATGCCAAACAAACCTGCCATAAAATTCCCTGTTATCAATCACTAGAACAACTTCAAACTCTCCTGGTCTCAACACAAACTCAGGTACTGGAAGACTGGATGTCGAGGACACCGTAGAAGACTGGGAATTGGTGTCTACATCAAGAGAAGTAACTGTTGTTGATGATGATTGAGAGTTATCTCTAACAGGAAAGGTAAAAAGTGATGGCTCTGGCCTGTTTGATGAAGATGGAAGTGTAGAAGATATGCCTGTTTAAAAAAAAAGTCTGTTTGGTTTGGATTTGTTCACTATCTAACGAAAAAAGAACTTTTTCTCACTTAATTCTTTGTAGAACACTCAGCTTAAAATACCGAAATTTGCCTCACCTAAAGATGAAGGTATAGCTGGTTTGTGGGAAGATGAAGATGCTGATGATGAAGGTTTAACAGATGAGGTAGTTGAAGGTTTCTGTGTGGTTTTTGATGTGGATGATTTGTTGATAGAAGTTAATGAGGATGATGGTTTTGAATTGGTTGAACCTGAAAATGAGAACACAAAGTTAAGAAATACCAATTATAGAGCACACTGAGAATAAAACAAAACATACCAGTAAGCTTACTTTTATCAGAAAGATCTTTGGTTATGTTTTCAGGAACAGCAATATCATCTCCATCTTTATCAGCTAGGTAAGCATAAACATCATCTTTAAATGGTCTAAAAAAGAAATTAATATAGAATTTATTCAATTGTAGAAAGGGTATTACAGTTTGATAAAGCATGATATAAGCAGCCAGACACGAACATTGTCCGATAAAATTTCAGCAAATGAACAGTACAATCTACTAGGACATTATGGATAAGCAAGATCTTTAAAGCATATCACCCAACAATATATAATAAATGTATTTTGAAACTTAAGGAACTTGAAAAACATCATACATAATGTAATCAGCTCACCTTGTTAAATCTAAAGAATAATTTTTTCCTGACATGATCAACTTCTGATAATTAACTTTAACTAAAAATCCTAAACCAATATCATCTACAACCAAAAAGAAAAGGTTAAGTTGAACCAAATACGTAGCATCATCAAATTACATGCTTGAAATAATGAGATTAAACCAGTTTTAGAATGAAAGTCACATAGCTTACCATCAGTAGTAACAGCTGCCTTGTCTTTCCTTATAACTTGTTGATTATCTTCTGTGATATACCAATATCTTAATCTACAAACAGAATAGGAGCATTATAAAAATCTGTACACATGACTATCAAATGGTTTGTGAAGTATGGGTTTAAAGGGTTGCAATTCAATCAATACCTACCTATTGTCATCAATCTCTGTTGGCATATGTCCAAAATCAGAAATTCCTTCATCGTTTTCAACTTCTTTATTATCATCTATTTCCAGGCCAGGAAGTGGTGGTTCCACCTGATCTTGTCTTACTGCTACTGGTGTATCATTAAATGTGGTGTGTTCGTCAACATATAATAGTCTGTAGGCCAGGGCACATCCACTTTCACTCAAGCTAAATCTGAAGTAAATAGCAGTGTATGGATCAGTTTAAAAGTGGGAATAAATAAACCAAGTACTTATGGTTTGAATTGAAAAACAAAACAGGAAAAATACATTTAACAACTTGAAATGTAAAGATTGGATTTTTAGAATGTACAATAAAAATGCGCCCAATTCTTTATAAACTTACTGGGCTGGAGATCTTTCCTTTACAACAAGTCCTTTCTTTAATAATGTAGCCATGGACGACCAGGCTGTATACCACTGAGCAGCACCTGGATCTGGCTAAAAAGATAAGAATGAGGTAAAAATCAACTGATGTCTAAGACAAAAAAAGCTATCTGCATGTTCTATCAAATGTAAGAACAACATAAGATATCATATGGCTAAAAAAACTGGATTTTAAATTGTCTTGTTGTCTGCTAAATAAACAATGCTGCTGATTATGCTTTCTGACATAATGCCTAACTTGATTGGATAGGTTGAACTTACAGTAATTTGTGTCAAAAAAATAGTAAAGCCACTCAATAACTTGATCTGCGCAAATTAATTACAGCAAGTACTGTAAATATATTGAGGTTTGATACTGCTGTATCTAATGAACAACTTTCAAAATTCATTTCTTCATAATCAGTAATGGGACAAATTGGTAAGGCGCCTTAAAGAAGCCGGAGTTAAAATAGTTACATATATATATCAAAGATATTCACCTCTGTAAAAGATTTATCTGCTAAGGGTTGAGCTTCTCTCATTAGTTCAGTTTTAGTTAAATATCCTTTACAATTAGCTGCCTACAACAGAATAAAATATAACTACACAGGGACTGTTGAGAGATATATCAGGTTGAAGGGATGTATCATGTTGAGGAATATATCAGGTTGAGGGATATATCAGGTTGAAGGATATATCAGGTTGAAGGGATATATCAGGTTGAAGGATATATCAGGTTGAAGGATCTATCAGGTTGAAGGGATATATCAGGTCGAGAGATGTATCAGGTTGAAGGGATATATCAGGTTGAAGGGATATATCAGGTTGAGAGATGTATCAGGTTGAAGGGTTATATCAGGTTGAAGGGATATATCAGGTTGAAGGGATGTATCATGTTGAGGAATATATCAGGTTGAGGGATCAATCAGGTTGAGGGATATACCAGGTTGAGGGCTATATCAGGTTGAATGATATATCAGGTTGAGGGATATATCAGGTTGACGGATCTATCAGGTTGAGGGATATATCAGGTTGAGGGATATATCAGGTTGAGAGATATATCAGGTTGAAGGATCAATCAGGTTGAGGGATATATCGGGTTGAGGGATAAATCAGGTTGAGAGATATATCAGGTTGAAGGGATATATCAGGTTGAAGGATATATCAGGTTGAAGGATCTATCAGGTTGAAGGATCTATCAGGTTGAGTAATATATCAGGTTGAAGGGATATATCAGGTTGAAGGGATATATCAGGTTGAGAGATATATCAGGTTGGGGGATAAATCAGGTTGAGAGATATATCAGGTTGAGGGATATATCAGGTTGAAGGGATATATCAGGTTGAAGGGATATATCAGGTAGGGATATATCAGGTTGAAGGATATATCAGGTAGGGATATATCAGGTTGAAGGATATATCAAGTTGAGGGATATATCAGGTTGAGGGATATATCAGACACAAGCCAGCTGGATCATCAAACATGAAAAGGAATTTAATATGCTACACAACAATATCAGCTTCTTCTCCACAATTTCTGTACAATTCTATATCTATTCTCCTACCTGTCTATCTGTATAAAGTGCCAATAAAATGGCATACCCTCCAGATCTGTAAGCTGGTATATATTCTTTATTACCTGAAGATTTCCTACGTTTCTGAAACACAATCTTAGATAATATAATTACAATATGATAAGTATCAGATAGAACTATCGTATTAAAATTTACATCCTTCTGTTCTAGACATATTAGTGTACTGATGAAAAGGTAATAATAACATATTCTGCTTTTGTCAATTTTTAAATTGACAATATTCTTCACAAATACAACCATGATAGTTTTACATCTAGTTAAAGAGACAAAACACTTTACCTAGTTGGCTCTTCCAAATTAACCTTAAGATTTGATTGTGTTGGGGCATTCCTTTACTTCTTAATCCATGCAAAAAAGAACAAAAGGATTTCCCTAATTCAGCCCTTTAAACATAAATCATGCTGTACCTGTGCAGCATCAAAATTTCCTAGTTAGTGAATGAAAAGTAAAACATACCTTAGCAGGTTTCTTGGCTAGTTTATCCCCATTCTCTGAGTCACTTGAATCTAAGAGATGATTGATGGAAGCTGTATGATTTGTAGAGTTCACAGAAGAGAAACTATGCTGATTGGTTGTTGATAATATCGTAGAAGATGAAACTGAGGCTGTAGAATCCTTAACTGTTGATTCTGTGAAAACTTGAGCAGTAGTATCTAAAATTAAATTAAGGTGTAAATGATTACAATAACAGAACCTGAAACATGTCATTACACAGAAGGCTAAGCATGAAACTCTTGAGGACAATATGTTTCAGGTTTTATTTTAATATTTCTATATCATTCTACACTTGACATTTTGAGCACTGTTTTAGCAGTGAAAACATTTGTTTATTGTTCATCATTTTACTATAATTATGTCTGCAATTCCATGTTAAACTGGACATCAATGTATATGTAATGTTGTTGTTGCTGGATTGATAACACAGAGTTAAATTTCCACTCCGCACGCCATAAAAATTAGGAGGTTCACTGATGTAATTAACTTTAAGAAAACAAGGCCTTGATTGACATTACTCACCATTTACTTTCATGTGTTCTGCTAATTTCATATCTAACATTTTACACGTCTTCTCTCCTGAAAACATGATAGAATTGGGCTGGGATTGGAGTTTCACGTCCTGCACCTAATTTAGGGAAGCTTTGCAGCAAAATCAAATGATTTGTATTTATCTATTTAAATTTTTTATATAGTAGAGACCCTTTCCGTAAATCAATCTTTCATAATTCCAGATGAACACTATCAGAAAACCTCATCTTTTATGGTTTAAATGATCCATAAAATAGTGAAGTAAGATTACTCACCAAAGTTTTTCAACATTTTACAGTCTTTACCGTATTCTAGTCTCAGTGGAAATTTCTTTAAAGCATCCAGGGCCTGAAGAAAAGTGAATAACAACTGAAAATGCGAAATTGATAAAAAGTTGTGGTAAGATGGAAACTCTAAAAGTTACCTTGATGGTGTATTTTGCTAATTGTCCAAAGAAAGCAAAGACTATGATCAACAGATTGGTTTTTTTCTCCATATGACATTAGGGGGTATTACTACAAAAATAAATGTGCAAGCAACACTGTTATTATGATAATAATAGAAGAAAATCTGAAACATATATCGTTACATAGAGTTTCATGTTGTGTGATCTTCAGAAAACAGACCTATTCAGCCTGCATCCCTACTGTCAAGTAGAACTTGTTATCATGAAGGCACTTTATTAATTTTAACATTGGTCATAATCCGACTCAATATAGCCTACCAAAGTGACATGGTCTAGTTTTACATTCAGCCCATGAAGACATAGACTCAGATTCATTTCAGAATAAGGTTTAATACACCAAAGTTACATGGTCCTGTCTAGCATTCAGCCCATGGGATACTGCCTCTCATACCTTCGCATAATTATACTGGCTCTTCCATCCTTTCAAAGCAGCTTCATCCCTCCATTCTGTTAACCATTTCTCAAATAACGGATTAGGACGGGCTACTTTCTTCCTTTTCCTTTTACCATATAGTTCATCCAGGTCGTCTTCCATCTTTCTTATAAAACTAACCACTGCCTTTTTTCAGGCCCTTGAAATATCATAAAAACTTGAACTATAACAAGGCCTAAAAATGAATCCTTATTTCACCATTTCTATTTATAAATTGAAGAAAAACATTTAATATGTCAATTCACTTTACCCGCGGAAAGCTGAAATTGAAAGTGGAGACCGGAAATGGATTTTGACCAATCAGTGAGCCAAGAATCTTCACATCTAATCAACATCCGGTAGAAATGTTTTCATTAGTTTCATAAAATATTTTCCAATATCTGAACAGATTCTAATATAATTCAATTAAAGGTAAAATTCTAGCTCCGTTGAATGAGACATTCACTGTTTATATATTTAAGCTCATTTTGTATTTAAAAGCAATCTATTTATTGCGGAATTACATTATTTATTTCAAAAATAAAGAAACCCAAAAGTGCAAAGTGAAAGTAGCACAGATCTGAGACAAATATGAAATATAACAACAGTTGGAAATCTATAAAGAGTAGGCTAATGCTGCTGTCCAAGCACACTGCATGTTCTTCTCTGTGTTCATTAGGCTATTTCAGTTCAGAGCATAAATGTAAATGAAATGAAATGCATTAAGGAGCATCAGCACCAAACGGGCTATATAGCTCCAAGAACATAAATGTAGGGAAGGGTGTTGCCTAAAACTTCTTTTCATATGATGCATAGGCATACTAGGCATACCATAGTTATATCTAATATGTACATGAATCCGTCATTTCTAGTTAGTCTTATAATTCTTACAGGTGAAATAAGAATCTAGAAGACAAAATGAATCCTAAATGGTTAGATGCCTACCATGACCCAGTAGCCTCTCTGTATACCTTCACTCAATGTTTAACTCTAGCTGATATTCAGGCTGATTCAGACTGGAAACTCATCATAGCTGATCTGGGTACAGGATCCTATGATATGAAACTTAAAGTCTATAAAAGTAAGTAGGCTTACTGTATAAATAAATAGAAACAAGTATTAACGATCCGAACATCAAATCAAAATACGAAATCCAAAGGAACTTATTGGCAATGCATTGGCTGCAGATAATGTTTAACAACTAGACTGTTGAATTGTAAAATCCTTTATCAGGCTAACTGAGAACAATCGAACAAAACGAATGATTCAACAGACCTTTAGCTAGCTCTAATTTAAACTCAGAGGTACTAAATATCAATTGTAACAACATTCAACCATTCTACCACCATTCTATGACCATATATTTAGCCTTTTTTAACAATCCTTAATTTATAAGAATCCTGATTCTTTTATTATGATACTATTTTGAATGAAAAAATAAATAAACGTAAAATTTGAATATCAAAAAGAGGTAGCTGTGAGATCATAGTGAGATTTTACCACAGAAGCAATTCTCCACTATACTGGAAGAAGACAAAGAAGATGAAGATGATTCTATAAGAAGTGATATCAATCTATATTATATTTCAGATACAAGTCTACTGAGTGAACATGCTATAATAGATCTACCTACAGGTGTTGTTACATTTTATATGGATACACTAGAACCAAGAACTCCAGGTTTGTCACTTCATTTTTCTCCCATCATCTTACACATAGTTTTTTTTGATTGATATTCACATGTGCTGATGTTTTTTAATAAGATAAAGCATGGGTTTTCGACCTTTTTTTTTTTTCGATTACCTCCTTTCAGGATCCTTACATTTACATTTATTTTATATTTGAATGATTTATGATTTGTTTTTCAGCTATTGCAGTAGCTTCTGGTCCGTATATTTATATTTATAAAAATCTACGACCATATTTCAAATTCACATTACCTCCCTTAGAAGTCAATCAAGTAGAGAAAGAATTGTGGGAACAGGCAAAAAATGTGAGTTTCTGTAAATTATCAATAAACTAGTTGATGGATTAGAGCTCCAACATGCTACCAATCATTAATTATTACTTTACAAACCAGAACTCACTGAAGAAGGATGTTCTATGGTATGAAGGTTGTGTTCTCAATTCATATTGGTCATTTGTTCACAAAAAAGTCAGATCAGTCATTCTTTCTTTTAATTCAAATGTGTTTCTCTGTAACTCAATCAATATACATAATTTATTCTAAACATCAGTTTTAATTTATATTTTGAATTGTATAATTTGTATATATTGTATTGTAATTGTATATATTGTATAATTTGTATATATTGTATTGTAATTGTATATATTGTATTGTAATTGTATATATTGTATTGTAATTGTATGTATTGTATTGTAATTGTATATATTGTATTGTAATTGTATATATTATACAATTTAAATTATGAATTAATACAGATGTTTAGAATTCATTATAACATTTTTTGATTTCTGTTAGTTATCTTATTTTTATATATATTAATTTTTGTAGGAGAATATCAATATTTCAGTTTTAAGAGACACATTAGAAGGATTGAGGTTAGTATGTTTTATAATATAAGCTTATACAAGTACTATACAAAACACATATCTTGTCTTAAACTATTTCTATTTCTATCATTTTTAACTTGTTTTTTTATTATAAAAGGAATGAAGGTAATCCACTAACAGTACGCTCTATGAAGTTTCTACAACTGGAGAGTTCCGATATGGAAGCGTTTGCTACTTTACATAAACACTCTCCATTAAAAAGACAGGTGAGATTGTACAATAGAATTCAAAATATTGGGATTCTCGGGAAAATTTCCACTGAAAAATGACATAGGCATTAAAACAGCATTAATCTTTTTTAATTATTGCATTTCTTTGTGTTGAAGATGTGTGTCTGACCTTGAATAAGTCATATTTCACCATTGTTTCAGTCTACTCAACTATAATTGGTTTTGGTACAGGTTTTGCCAGTGACCAGCTAAAAGACAAGATCATGGAATATAAGTGGTTATCGTTGTAAAAGATGGTTGTTTTCTTTCTTTCATGTGACTATTTCTATATCTATTACAGACTGTAATAACATGTCTAGATACTCTGAAGAAATCTCTAGCAGATGAAGATGCTATAAGCTGTTTAGTTGTTGGAACAGAAAACAAGTTGATCTATATACTAGATCCTGAAGCTTTCACTGTTCTTGCTACGGTATGCTATTATTCTAAATAAATCTTCCATTGTTGAATCATTGAATCATTATTACACAAGATAAAGTGATATTAAAAAAAAGAATTAACATGAGCGTTTCCACCTATCAAACTTAGATCTAAAGGTTGGCCCCGAAAAAGTGAGTTGAAGTTGTATATTCATCTTAGATCATATGATCACTTATATCACAGGTTCATACAGACTGAAAGCAGATCCGATACAGACAGAAGGTTGCAGAATATAGGCCGTAACTTTTAGAAAATATTTTACTTTTATCTCATTGGTTAATGAAAATTCAAAATTTTATGTATATTTTATAGATGGATCTACTCAGTGTACCTGTATTTATCAGTGTTAATGGTTTATTTGATGTAGAGTATAGACTAGTGGTATCTTGTAGAAATGGCTGTATTTATACTTTAAAAAGGTAATCATCATTGATTATGTAAATGTTACTCATTGTTCTTGCTGAACAGACATGATAAGGCAGACAGTTGGTACTATCTGATTAAATTGTTGGCATTATGAAAATGGTTTCCCTTAGGTGGAAGGGGCTGACATGGAAAGTGTCAAGATGGGACAATATATAGAGGCCCTGTGTGCTACAGCCTGCACAAATTCAATTTCAAAACATTTCTGACTACCCTAGTCTGTCTTGATATTTATTACAGAGGTTCTAAAGAGGGTAGTAAACACTGTATTGAGTTGAATTCACAGCCTGTTGGAATGGAACGTATTAATAAAACTATATATGTTGGTTGTATGGATGAAACTTTACAATGTTATTCCTCCAAGGTCAGTATATTGATTTGGCTGTATTTTCTGGACATGACCAATTAACCAGTTCAAACCTTGGCAGAATTAAATAAACTTAATAAAGGCTGTAATATAATGTGAATATCATTACCTTATTTGAGTATTGTTCTTTATAAAAAGTGTTAACTGTGGTCTGAGCAAAGTAAAAAGTTTTTTGAATTTTTCCATCAAATGCTTCCCAGACTTAAAATCAATGATGAAAGCTCACTAAGACAATACAAACAACTAAACATTGCTAAGAATACACATATATTCGCATTTTACTAATTCCAATTTCACTTTTGAAAACAGAAATGTCAAGGTTTTAACATTTCTAACTGTACTATATTTGTAGGGTAAGAAGTTATGGACAGTCAAGCTACCAGCTAGTGTAACTACTATGAAAGCTATTGACTATACTCCACGACAGTTGAAGGCTCTACTAGTAGCTCTGAGTAACTGTGAGGTTCATATGTATAAAGATAAATACCTAGTAGATATTATTAAAACTGAGGGTATTGTTACTGGCCTACAGTTCGGTAGATTTGGTAGAGAAGATGGTACATTGGTTATGACAACTAGAGGTAAGTTGACTGCTTTACTTTTATTTTATTAGTATTTATTTTCTCTATATCATGACTGTAGATTAAGTGATTTTTGATCGTTTAAAGTCGAGTTCTGGAGTGATAGAATACTGCATACCAATAATTCTTGATATTGAAACTGTTCATTGATAACAGAAGCTATTGGATTCAAATGGAAATTTGTTCACTACTTGTAAACGAACCTTTTGTGGATGTCTGTCTTGGAATCCCTTCCCCAGAAGAGAACACAATGTTAATGCTTAAACACTGTAATATTTGATACAGCACTTCTCAAATGTTATTATTAATAACCTAGACAATTCAGTATTCTTAAAATACTTGTGTTATTTTGAAGGTGGTGGATTGTTTGTGAAGATATTAAAGAGATCAGCTAAATTTGAAGAGAAAGATGCTCTAGCTGGTCCACCAGCAGCACAGAATGTTAAAATCAACATGCCGAAGAAAACCAAGTTATTTGTTGATCAAACTATGAGAGAAAAGGAGAATGCTGTTTGTAAGTTTGTCTTGTTAATTTCTAACATTATTAAGTATGGTTTACTGTGGCTCAACTACAGCTTGTAGACTTAAGTGTGTTGGGGCCTCTCACCCAGGGATTTTTTTAACATATGCTCTCCCACATTTTGTCTCGGAGTGGGGGCCTGTGGACATGGTTCAACCAGTGCCTATGGAAGTTGAGTCACTAGGGCTCACTATGAACAGGTGAACAATGTAGCCTCCTTTAAAACAGTTTAAACACCAAATGACATCCTAGAACAATTCTTCAAAACTTCATTTAAGATTATTATTGTGTTGAAGTCATCTGATTGAAATTATTAAAATTTAATTTGAGTTTAGATTTATTATCAATTATTCTCTTATATTGTTGATGTTAATATCATTAGTTATGTTATTTGAGAAACGGGGCCTTGCCTAAAATATGTTTCAGATTCAAATCTATAGTATATTACACACTAACACTAATTATTTTCATCTGTAAAGGCCAATTTTAAAATACATATATTAAGATAGACACGTAACAGACATGTTTTCATCTGTAAAGGCCAATTTTATAACTTATATTTAGCAACATTTAGGGGTAGAGATCACATTAAATAACGGAACACAATTTTATGGTATACTACTCCTTAGTTTTATTACACACTATGTTTCAACAATCTACATTGTCATCTTCAGGTGAAGTGAAAGTAGCGTGTAATAAAACTAAGGAGTAATATACCATAAATTTGTGTCCGTTATTTAATATTATAACATATATCTAAATGGACATGTGACAGACATGTTTTAACGTCTGTTGATATAGTTTATAAGGAGGCAAGGTGAAAAACAATAGATTATCTTTAATAATCTGGCAAAAGTGAACTGTTCTATAAAGTTTATTCTTTGTTGTCAGAGATATGTTTTACAAACAGTGTTACCTCCCTTTTTACATTAATTGAGTTTGTGTTTCCTTGAAAACCTTTTCCCATCTTATACCTGCATCGGAATATTCATCAGGGTAGTATCCCTTCAGGGTGAGAACAATATTGCAGCCGGCGATCTCCTTGAGTCAATTTTGTAAACCTCCCACTTCCAATTTTTAGCCCCCTGCCTTTATATCTATTTGCCTCTAAAGATGCCAGAATAGCAAACGAAACTTGTAAAATTATCAATTGACATGTTTTTAATTTTTTGAAGAAGACACCAGGTGGCAGCCCATTTTAATTATGAAAATTAAATCTAATAAAAGTAATATTTTGAACTTGTCTGAAGGGTTATCTTATTTCTGTTGCCGCTCAAATCTTTATATGGTTTTACAATATGTCTACACCTTGCTAGGCTAATGAAGATAGGTCAAGGCTGTAGATTTTAGATCATCTCTTTTAAGAAACTCAGCAATAGTTCAGCTGAAATTGTAAATATTTATATTTTAGCTTCTTACACTATGAATTATGAAGTGGTTTTATGCTTAAAACAATATTTATTTCCAAAATAGCTGACTTAGACCTACCCCTGGCTAATTTAATACTCTTCAGATAAGCTAGTAATTTCTTCTTCAATTTTAATGCTTCTTTTTGAATGTGCTAGATTAAAACCCTGCAGGCTGCACTTACAACCCTAATATAAGCAAGCTATTTTGTATTTAGGACAGATTTAGAGCTAAATATAGAGGTAATTTTCACTGTTATTTTTTCCTTTCATTTCATGTAATCTTCACACTTTTTCATTAAAATCTCTGTAAGCCGTAAAAAACAGTAATGACCAATTTGGATGTGACATATTCATTTCATAGCCGGGGGCCATTTTATAATTCCTTGGCCTGACTTTTTCATTAGACAAAGTAAGATGGGATAAAATATAAAAATTGTAATTATCCTTCAGTAAAATGCCATCAGGCCTTCCTCTATGTAATGGCTGATATTACTCTTTCAATTACTGTGCTGCTTTAAACCAGTACATTTCTGGCGGATTGTCACATGATGGCTGAATTTGATTGTCATAATACGCCTGGCATTTGGAAATAATTATTTCGTGTATGATATTGCTATTGGTTTTCAGTAGGGTTATAAGTTGAGAATCCCATTTCAGAATCATTACTTCCGCAAGAAGTTGGTTATTGAGTTCATAATTATGACAATTTCTGAAGGTTTTTTGAAAAACATAATGGTAATGTAAATTCAAACTTAAAGATTTTTTTTCTAAAATTTGCAGGATTGTCATTTGGACAGGATAATTTTGTCACAGTTTTCTGTATCGTTTTTCGGTGAGAAACCTATTTCTCAGTTCTGCCTTCATTTCCTCCACAAGAAGTTGGTAATTGGGCCAATAATTCTTACAATTTAAAAAGGCCTTTTTTTTTTTCTTTTTGAAGAAGAAGATAATGTTTGCAGGATTGTCATTGAACTAGGTTGTTTCAATGAATATAATACGCCTGGCATTCAGAAATGATAATTTTCTACATGATATTTGCCACAGTTTTCAGTAGGGTTATTCGGTGAGAAACCTATTTCTCAGTTCTGCCTTCATTTCCTTGCAAGGAATTGGTAATTGGATCCATAGTTATTATAATATTATAAATGTCAGAACCAGGCCTGTGTTTTTAAAAAGTCTTAAGTCTTTACTAAATAATAGAGTGCAGAAAAAGTCTGTTGGTTTAAATGTTTTTTTCTATCCAAAATTCTCAATTATATAAGACTTCTTAAATAAAATATTAAAACAGAACCTAAAAAAACATGTTGTTGTTTCACGCTATGTGATCTTCAGACAACTGACCTATTTCCAGTCTATGTCCCTACTGAAGTTAGACAAGTAGAACTTATTCTCATGTCTACACTTTAAGACGAGTTACTTGCTGATAGAATAGGGATGTTTCTAACATTAGCTATGTGAACTATGATACATAGTCTAGAAATATTTTCAAAGTGGTGTTAAGCCTATCTCAGAGATCATATAAAGCCTTACAAATTATATATCCCTTAACCACCCCCTTCATATCGTGTAATCTCTGCATAACCCAATTCCTAGAGTAAATAGAACTCTTGTTATCTGATGTTACAATATTTTAGACGCCTGTAGTCCTCTCTATTCTATTGTATTATAGCTGGAAGTTGAGCCAGCTGATATTTACAATCATAATATCAATGGAGGTATTATATTATGTTTTATCCAAGAAAATTGGTCCAATCTGTTTATTGAAAAAAGTAAGACCTTGCAGATTGACTTGCAATTCATAGCATTTGATGGATTTCAGATATGATGTCACTGACAAGTTTTATGTTGTATTTTTATCTAAGAAAATTTGAAATTTTTGTTGTTGTTTGTGTATGTTGACAAGCAATTTGAATCATCTCATTGGATCTCATCAGTCGAAACTCTTAAATCTAAAAACTGACAGATTTTTTATGATCACATTAATGGCATTGTTTTTTCTGGCCCACCCTTTATATGTGTTTGCTAGCTAACCTGAAGGTCCAGGGTTCAACCTCGGCATAGATCGAGATAATACCTTCGGATTTTTCAACCCGGTTTCCCCTTGTCAGTGATGCAGGTAAGAGGGGCTGACATGGAAAAAAGTCTAGTCGTTCGGATGGGACAATAAACTATTAAAATTTCTTTGACATGAGACAAATCACTATAGACTGTTTTATCATTTCTGACAGCTGCCAGTGGGTGTATGTTACCTTGCCTGGCAAGCTATCTTATATGTGTTTAATTACCTTATCTATATTTGTTTACCTAACTTATTTACCTGATCTAATAAACTGAATTCCTCTAAAACATTACCATCTTGGAACAATAATGTCATTTTCAAAATGAATTAGGACAAAAAACCAATGGATTATGGGTTGTTAAAATAAAAAAGACAAAAAGTCAGAAATAGGAATCTTTTGAGAAATTATAATCAATTGTTACCATATATTGACAATACTGTACACTAGTTACAACTCTTTTAAATCAAATTGAAAGGCTATTTGTCAGTCTAGAGTGTTGACACAAGAAACTGGTGGGTGTTTAAATTGAATTAAACCGTATTCCTACTGTCAATTTCAATAGAATTAAGATTTAAACACATTATTTTAATAAATCTGGAATTACAAGTCCTGTATGATGTTACTCATGTCAATGGCCGTTGCAAGAGATACGTCTGCAAGAATTTTCTTTGTACTTTTTGAAGATGTGTTTAACATCATTAGAAAATAAGATTTGATGACCTGGTTCTTCATCCAGCTGCTCTAGGCCAAACCTCTTTGCCTTGATCTCTCCCCCGACAATTTGTATTAACTAGACTAGAATAATCAGGAGAGATGACTTACTTAAAATTGAACAAATGACTGAGATTAAATCGTATCCACTACCAAAATTTGCAATGAAGCAGATGACCTCAAGATTCTAATACTTTAACGGAGTGATCTACATACTGCCCTCATAGAAACATAGAATCTCTAGTACTCCTATTGTCCTTGTATATTTCAGCAATGCATAGAACATTCCAGAGAGATTTGTATTTATTACGTCTGAACACTGCCAGGCAGTATGTTAAGGCTTTAGAGAACAGTATGAATCCTATATCATCAGACCCTACAGAACCTCTCAAACTCTCAGCACAGGTAGGTTATAATGGGGAAGAAATGGTGTTATATCAATACAGGAGCCCTTTTAGGGACTATCTGAAAGGCCAGCATGAATATATGAGCTCTTGTAAGCATTATTTGAAAAGTTGATAGTATTAAATATCATCAGAATCTGATGATCAGAGCCTACAGAACCCCTCAAAAAATCCTCTATCATCTGATAGGTACAGTTTAATAGGGTATCGGTGGGGTTGTTTACAATGGGGCTCTTTGTCAAAGACTAGCATGGGTCGTATATCAGATCCTACAAAACCTCTCAAACTGTGGTGAAGTAATTAGTTTGTATATATGAAAGTTTTGGAGATATCTCTAGAGTACTTTTAAGTGAAGTTGTGCTGCTTTTTAACAGATCCCTCAAAACATGGAAATGGAAAAAGAGTAGGCTAATGCTGCTGTCCTGGAAAAATATTGTACATTGCATCATGTTGTCCATCTTCATTACCCCATTAAGGTGCAGAAGAGTAGGACATTTTTTGATATTATTCCCATCTTTAAATAGCATTTCTTTTCTTTGACATGGCAAAAAAGTACTAAGAGGTTGTATTTAGACACATTTTTGATCTCTGTTTTCAGATTCAAGGAATTGGTCCAACGTTTAAACTGACAGTAAATCTTCAGAACACATCTCTCAGTACACCAGTTTATAATATTATTATTACGTTTCATTTTGATGATAAACTATATTCTTTTAGAAATAAATATATAGAGGTAAGTCAGTCTATTTCTATTGGGAGTAAGTTGGGAAGGGAATGATATGGGAAAGAGGTGATATGGGAAAGGGTTGATATTGGAAAGAGGTGATATGGGAAAGGGTTGATATTGGAAAGAGGTGATATGGGAAAGGGTTGATATTGGAAAGAGGTGATATGGGAAAGAGGTGATATGAGAAAGAGGTGATATGTGATATGGGAAAGGGGTGATATGATTAAGAGGCAAGTTGTGAAAGTAGCAAATTGGGAAGGGGGTGACATGGGGAAAGAGCAAAATCGCAAGAGGCAATATAGGAAAAGGTGAAACAGAAAATGGGCTAATTGGGAATAATTTAGGGGTGATTGGAATTTTTGTTTGTTCTGATACAGAGCTGTGGAAGCAGCTGTTCTAATCTACAATAACTCCTATACTTCAAAATACTTGGTACATATATGATGAAACAGATGAAAACCAAGCGAAAACTTTGGTAGTTATCAGTGATTGGAAATGAACACAAATGCAAATACTATAGGTCCTTCAGTTTCAATTGATTCACATTCAGTAGGAATATTTGGACATCATCCAACATCTTTTCTAATAATCTTTAATGACATTTAGAAGTAGATAGAATGTTATATAAATAGGAACACTATTATGGAGAAAGTAGTATATCTATAATAATGTTCTTATTTATTTAATAATCTTTTCTAATGGTTAATGATCATAATTTCAACCCATAAAAACATGATTTATATTTAAAGGTACACTACCTCTTAGGATGAACAAAAATTGAAGTTTTTAAACTTTATTGAAATCAGGCTTTGTCCATCAGTGAACAGTAAACTATACAACAGAATCCCTCTGTAATCCAATAAATACATAAAACTAAGTGATAATTCATTAAACTAGGTAATTTTGAATTATGTTTAGATGCGTGTTTCAATAGTTATTTAGTTTAATGGATATATCATCTTATATAGAGATTCTATTCTTTAGTCATGACACGTGGTAAGTCCAACTAATGAATATATACTCTTATTGACCAAAATTGAGAATTAAAATTTTATGTCCATTCAAAGTATCCTTTTAACATAGATCACAGAAACTACGCTATCAAAATTTATCAGAAACAAATTTGAAATTATCTTTTTTATCATTCTTGTTATTTCATTTTTGGGGTGTTTTTTTTTCAAAAATCATTAAGTTTCAATTAGATTTTCCAAGTTTTCATTAATAGAATTTGACAGCCTATAAATTTAGTCATTATGAGTAAAATCGTGTCTTAATGCAGCTATAATACTTGATAATACTTTCTTGTCCTTGTTTATTGCATCATAAAAAACAAATGAAAGGCTATAAAACTTAATAAGATGTGGTTCTTTCCACATAAAAACACCATTTTACCTTCTATATTAAGACTGATGCTTTAACGGTCTAGGAAATTGAATTAAGCTGTAATAAATTGTTGAATTTCCCCCAAAAAGTGTTCATTGATATTTTATCAAGGCATCTGAAAATGTCATTGTGTGCTTCATGTTAGATAAGGCTTGAAAGGTTTGAAAAGTGTAAGAGACTTAGAGAAAGAGATTGAAATAAGTTAAGTTTTCCCTCACAACTTGTTTGAAGAAATATAAGTTTGTTTTAAAGATAACATCAGTTTTTTGAAGAATTATGAAACAGAAATTTCCCTCAGAGTTTTCTGATTATCCTTATCTCTTATAATAAGCATTAGATATTTTACCCTTGAACTTTATTTAAAATCTTATTAAAGAGAATCCTAGATATATATGATATAGAAAATAGAAATATTAAAACAGAACTTGAATCTTGTTGTTACTCAGAGTTTCATGCTCTGTAATCTTCAGACAACTCATCTGTTTCTCAGCCTGTGTCCCTACTGAAGTTAGACTAGTAGAACTTATTCTCATGTCAACTCGACACAAGTTCGAAACAATTGTTTTAAGGCATGTTCTTAGGGGCAAAATAAACCATTTTATCAGTAGCAAGTGGACTCTCAGAATGGTATGCCAAGTTGAAAACCTCAGTATTTAGTTCAGTGGGACTTACATTCAATCAGGTCTGTGGATTGGACCCAAGAGCTTCAATGTAATAAAATATTAGTTTCTGGTCTGTTTGGCAATCATCTGTCAGTCAAACAATTGAAAATACATGTAGGTTTTTGTAATGACAGGTCTGTAAATAGGGTGCTTTTTTTTTTTGAGTCAAGAATTCTGTTATGTCTTTCAACGCTTTCAGTAGACTTCAAACAGTAACCATCTTCAGCAGACATCATATTCGTATTGCAAATTTGTTAACCAAATTCAGCATGAGGCATTGCTGCATTTTCCTCATTTGCCTTGATGTAATTACGGTCCTGAATGTATGTGGTATAATAGGGCGGGTAAAAATAACATTTTACTTTTGTTTTTCAACTGAAATGGGTCATATACAACTATATGAACCTACACACAGAACTGGATGAACATGATAAGTAGACAGGAATATCCCAGTCATTATAAACTGATCAATTTATGGTACAGCCAACATAGTATTTAACGCTTACTGTGGCTTATCTTCTCTTGACCTTTACATTGAGCAGGTTTATTTATAGTAAATAACTCCATTCTTAATGACATTTTACTACTTTCGTTTAGGGAATAAAAATATCAAGGTAGCATTATCAGCTTTGGCATAACTTTTTGAAAGGGATGTCGAGTTGATACACCTCATCACTGAATGGTATCAGGTTTTCTTGAAAAGTGAATATTTTGATACACTGACATCTACCACAAAGCCAAAGTTAAAAAGAGTTTCTAGGTTGAAGAATGATCTAGGGATACTGTCATCAATAGTGTAATCCTCCTGTTGGTGTGTGATAACAGATATTCCTATATACAATTGTTATCTAATGAATTTATCCCTGCTTATAATTTCAGGTACCAATGTTGGTACCAGGGTTGAATTATGCCTTTGAAACATTTATAGACTGTTTAAATGATAGGGGAGTCTCTGATAATGTCAAGGTAAATACAAAGATTATTATTGTATATATAATTCCCATTAGTTGCTTATATCAATGGATTATTTATCTCTGTATTTTGGATATGATGTGGTTGTCAAAGATTAGCATGAATGGGTTCCAAGGTAAAAAAAAAACAATTATCAGTTTAATATGCTGTAAAGAATAACCTCTATATATAAAATATGATATACAGTAATTGAAGGATATTGAAAACACAGTGATAAAATTCAAGAAAATTATATTTCAGTCAAATAGCTATCCTAATAATGTATATATTGTACAAGGTGTGGTTTATGATTGTATTTTTCAGGTATTTGTGTTAAAGGATGGAAAGAGTGTTCCCATAGTTACTGGAGTTATCAGCATGCCTGTTAGTGAAGCTGCAGCAGTCGCTTAATGACCTTTTAACCTTTCTTTCACCTTGAACTCCACATATGTTGTTTGTCACAATGTTATTATGTTCATCCGTCCATTTTCTTGTTTTAACTTTGTGAGAGTAGCCATTTCATTATGTGTTTTGTACTTAAATTTGTGTGTCTCTCCACATGCCTATAAACAAGACTAAACTTCTGTAAATCTGTAGTTGCATGAACGACTTGATAAAGGTGTCTCAGAAATTGTGTAGCTGACTTATTGAATTGATTTCAACTATTTATAGAGCATCTTTCTGTCATTGTACATGACATCTAAACACAGAGGCTCTAGGTATATATTTTCAGTATTTATTGCATCAATTACACCTTTTAATTCTTGTCTGAAAAATATTAAAATAATGTCTGTAACATAATAAAGTATTGAATATTGATATTTGTTATTTTCCAGTCTATATGTTATTTTCCAGTCTATATGTTATTTTCCAGTCTATGTTATTTTCCAGTCTATATGTTATTTTCCAGTCTATATGTTATTTTCCAGTCTATATGTTATTTTCCAGTCTATGTTATTTTCCAGTCTATATGTTATTTTCCAGTCTATGTTATTTTCCAGTCTATATGTTATTTTCCAGTCTATGTTATTTTCCAGTCTATATGTTATTTTCCAGTCTATGTTATTTTCCAGTCTATATGTTATTTTCCAGTCTATATGTTAGTTTCATTCCACTGTTATTGTTTATGTTATTGTATTTGAATATTGTATATTATAAATAGAAAATGTTACTTATTAATATGACTCTTGAAATATATATTGATTTAGTGCTGTAGAACTTTTAATTAATGCCCTACAGGACCATTTTAAATTAAACATTATATTTAAGTATTGATTGAATTAGACCTGGTTTCTGTGTACCTGAGTATGTTTTAGCTTTCTTTTGTAAAGTTGTCACATGTCTCAGATATTTCAAAAATGCAGAAAAATGCAGAAAACAAAGGAACTGAACCGCAAATGTGATGTTGTCATTATGTAAAAGGTGTGATTAAAGACCAGTTTTATGTCCGAAGTTGACTTATCAGAAACCCAAAACACTTCACAGTGGCGTGAAAGGGGGAGGGGGAGTGAGTCAGAAAAGAGGCTGGCCTGGCTTGCCGTTAACAATATTAATCTTTAATAGAGGCGATGAATAGAAAGTGGAACCTCAAGTTGTTAAGATCCTTTCAATGGCATTTTTTTTAACGAATGTGTGAAGGGGACAAACAATACCAGGTAAAGGGACAGGTGCACCTTTTTTTTTTTACCAATTATACTTTAGTCTCAGAAATCCATGTGTGTCCAGAATTATCCACGTTTGAATGTTAAAATGACGACTCGCCAATTGAAGATACTCTATGATATATAGAAAAGGTATATTGAAATATTGACTAAAATTCCTAGTTTGAAGTATTTTTTAAGTAAGTATGCGATTCTCATACATTCTAGTATTTCTGAAGACTTTTTATATATTTTCAAGATTGAAATCAACCCCCCAAAATGGCGCACCTGTCCCTTTAAGGTCTTAATGATAAGAAATTTTAAACCCCCTCACTGGCTCCTTATCTTTTGACGATTTTTAAAAACAATACTGCTCAAAGATGGACGTATACTTTATATCTTAAACATATCAAGATTGATCTTTGAATTCAGGAAAAGAAATCGTCCATTGATTATCTTTAATATAAAATGTAAGTATCTTCTAGAAACGTTCTTTATGTCAATGTTTAGAGAAAGGCTGTTTGCCCACCAGAAGGTTTTTAAAGACAACAACCTGGAGATTGTAGCAAATTTACTTCAATTTTTTCTTTTGTGTTGTAAATTGGCCTGATATGGATTTTCTCTTATCTTTACATTTTTTCTCTCGTTCATTCCTTCGAGTGATGTCAAGACTTTTATTGTCTTAAAAGCTTTCTTTGATAACTCTATTTTAACTGATTTGGAAGAGTGGGGCACACGTGTACGAAAAAAAAATTATAAAAAAATAATGTGAAAGTGTCAATAATCAAGTTTCTCGATCGAGTAGTATATAAATATAGCAACATAGGCGATAGATTATCGAATAGAAATTAGTACTAGCACAGTGCCATGTCTGATTTCATTAGCAGTTCTCTTTTTTTTTCTTCTTTTTTTTTTTACATTTTTACCACTTGGTCACATTTTACAGGCTAGCATCAGATAAGCATCCTGTTTCCCCAAATTTATGTTTTTATGACCAATTACTAATCATCATCACACTACAGAAAAAGACAAAAATTGCGTAATTGTGCGGTCTTGATTTTTGTAGCCAACTTAAGTCTTGTCAAGAGTTTCACCGAACGGCTGCGCGTACACGAGGAGACAGAAAACCTTCAGTCGGTCGTCTTCCACTACGCTGATAATCACGAGAAGATCAAGTAATTGAAAGGAAAATGAATCTGATTGGATGATGACGCTCTGTCTTGCAGTTAATAAAATAATCAGCTACAGATAACGAACTGGTTTGGTATTATAAATCGGCTTCGCGATAATCTTGTTGTGGACGCGCTGGCACATGTGAGAATTTACTCTAGCTTTGCGTCGGCCACAAAAATCGGTGACAAAGATTGTTCGTGTGCCCACACTGTAAGAATACGGACATTTTGAGAGATGTGCTGTAGTACGTATCCACTGAAGAATGTTTTAATGGCTGGTGTCCAGGGAATTCTGCCTTTTCACAAAAGACAAACAAATTACAATTTCTACTCCTCTGTGTCCTTTGGCTATTCCGATTTTACTGTTGTTAAAGTGTAGGCTAATGCCACTCTCCTGACAAAATCCCATCATTGCACACTGCATAGCGTTTCCCGACTTCGTTAGCCCAATCAGGTGCTCAATTTCATTTTACCTTCGATGTAGATTCACAATTTTGTTTCAAGCTAGAAAACGAACCTCAACTCCAATATCTCTTCCAAGCTGCATGCCCGGGACAACTATCAGTTGATTATTGTTTCAGCAGGGTCCCAAACAATCCAATGACGACAATAAAAACAGGAGCCATGTAAATTAAATATTTTTTATTTGATAACAATATTGGAATACAATTCAACAATGTGGAAATGAGAGGCAACAAGTTTAAATGGAATTTACAAACATGACAACTTGGAAACATAATAACAATAACAAGAGGAAAGATAGAGAGCGTCCTGTCATTTGATTGTCGTGTGGGTGTAAAATTATCCGTCTATTCAACCTAAATCGATCAGACAGTTCCAATCCGAAACAGTTAATCTTAAAAATTGCTTTCGAAACGAGATTATTTTTAATTGCAATCCAACCACATGTTTTACCTGAATTATCAGTTGTCAAAATAAATACTTAAACTTTTTTACAATTTGAATGGATAAAGATTTCAACCCAGGCGACAATAACACGAAACCCACCACTCAACATACTGTAACACAAAGTAAATAACGCTTTGGAACAGAAGAAATAGAAAGGCAAGAAGAAACAATTGGAATGTACATAGTTAAGAAAATAATATAATTTCTGTACAGTCAATATTAGTTGAAGTTGGTGTATAAGATATAATTGTAAGAACTGAAGGCTATATCTATATAAATTACAAGAAATGAAATACATCTATGTATCTAACGTGTTTTAAATACTTTACATGGAGGATAAATGTATATTTTAAGTCGCACCATTTGTTCTCGCTAATTATAGCTTTTGAATTTGCCCCACAAAGCATTGAGATATATTTTCGACATATATCGTTGACATAGTTTTAGAACACATAATTGTTTTGCCAGTAAATATGTTAGTTATGTGATTCGCTTAAATCATCTTTTATTTAACTCATAATATGTGTAATTTGTACATATAACGTAGGAATAAATAACACAATCTTCTGACCAGCATAAATAAGCAGGAATATTATCAATCTATAGTGTATGAGCCGAGCACACCATGTTGCATTTGACAACCATTTATATTATGTTATTCAATAATGCATTAGTTTCATTGTGGAAGGAAATTACAGAAGCCTTATATTGATAATGATAAGATAGCTTCCAATTCTTTGACGGATTTTCAATTTGATATTTCTGTTTATTTTTTACCATAACAAAGGTACGTAACAACAATAAGTAACGTGTTCAAATCGGCATTGACAATACATAATTGTTCTTTATTTTTCAAAATATTTAACACTTAATTTACAATAATAATAATTGATGTTTATTTATTGGTATTTTTGGGTAGATTATTATATAAAGGTTTCAAATATAAAGGGATCTATCTATATGTATGTACATTATTATACAAAATATCAAACACAAATATTAACAATCGTATTTTATTCAGTTTTTGTGAAACGATACAGACTTGAGTACGAAACAAGGGTGTGTGTCATTTTTCATCTTTAACTAACAAAATATCCAGATTTTTATCAATCAATTTGAAACTAATAATTAGTCATAAACGAAAAAACCAATGAAATTATCTTTATTACAATTTGCGTGAAATACCAAATCATGTGTATGAACAGAGAAATATTTATTTTTGATTCAATATATTGGATATGTAATTAAACAATAGAAAGGTCATATCCCATTGGATGCCCCTGTTACAGAACCATGCTAATATTGTTTTTATTTGATATATTTGACACAAATCAATATTATTCTAATTGAACGGTGTACCAGATTGTAACAAGGGCATCTGGTTAGATATTGCCAATAATCAAATCAGGTCAATTTTCTTCCTCTTGCCCACAGCAGTTATATAATAAGTTTGCTATTTTTGAATTATAATGGATAAGAATATATTCCTCTAGTGACTAAAAGTACTAAATAATAACTCATGATGCTCAATAGTCAGTCAGAAATCAGTTAATTTCAGTTGCGCTGCAGCAGGTATACCATGACAGTCCTTTTTCAGATAGTTTCAGAATAATATAAAAGTTATCTAGATATGGGGATATGTCTGAGTTAACAAACCACAATTATATATATATATTCATATGTTCACTATATCCAGCTTTATTTACAGATTTTCTTTTTAATTTATTTTCGTTTTTTTCAGCTAACAACTAAGAAATTATAAAAATTGGGAAACACAAATTTGAGGACGACTAATGGACACATTGTCTACTAAGATTTCAAAAAACATAATTTCTATTAAATTTTGGGTTCGTGAAATTTATTCTCTCAGCATACATCATACTATTTATTACGAACATCACATAATCTAAATATTTCCGACACGTGACCATATATTGGCCAATGATATTGATATCAATATTTTCAAAATATTGTTCATCCAATGAAAACACGACAGCCAATGAAGGGGTCCTTTTTGCTGAGAGTCTTAGCCAATCAAAACACCCAAGGACATCTAAAAACCAATCAAAATGAAGGAAAGAGCTAACCACCATTATCAGGGGAATCATGCAAGGTTCTGAATTATCTAATATATTTATACACATACGTCAAAAGTATCTCTGGCATTTTTGTCACAAAAACCACAATTTCAGACACAGCAATTTGTTTCAGAATCAGTGACTGAATTGACCAATTAATATTAGAAAATGTCAAAATTTTCAAATGAAATTGTTTTTGTTTTTTTATGTTTTATTCACAAAATCATTTTATTAAATGTTTGACGATTAGAATATATTAGTGTGAGGTTACACAGACGGTATGTAAAGACTGTTCAGAATTTTATTTGAGGCCAATTGACATATGTATACAAAAGTTTCCATACTGAAAATAGATTCTAGAATTAAATACAAAACGAATCATGCAAGAATTACTAGTCTTAACAAAGGTTGAAAATATCATCTAGTGTATATCTGAGCTTATTTATGACATCTTAGTTTGTTAGTGAATGTGGTGAAGTGCTGTACTACGCCTACAAATACTATATATTATTAGACAATTTTCAAAACTATCAAAATAAAAAATGTAAAAAACATTAATATTTATTGCTATTATTAATGTTTTCAAATCCCCATATTTGAATAAATAGTCAGTTGAAATGATAACGTTGTATAACACTGTATAGGGTTATGGTTAAGTTGAAGAATTGTGTCATATACATTAAGTCAAATGTCAAAACAGAAACGAATTCGTAATAGTGAATAATTGCGACAGTAAGGTAAACAGTTTTCGTTGAAAATTGGAAATTCCTGTACATATTGATGCCTTTTATTTCTTCCTTTGTATAACGCTCACATACGAAACTACGCGTCCGAATCAGAATAAGATAACGAACTAAAGCAAAATGTTTTTTGAACTTGTTCTTACTTTTTTGAAGAGAATTGGAATATCAGCCTCAAAATAGTACTGTTAGTCTTGGAATATCTTATACTATGGCATCGAGTGTTATATGAATAATTAAAATCAGCAGATAAAAAAATTAATACAAGTAAAATTCATTTTGATTTTGACAATTGTTGTTGTATAAACATGAAACTGAATATATAGTCATATAGTTATTAAGATATGTAATTTCGGGGTTGTTTTCGATACAATTTTAATCGTACCATAAGCAGCAAACAAGATGGAAATATCGGCTGATTCCCATAGTAACGGTGGTGAGCTGGTTTGATGACGTCATGATGTAATTTTGTTGGTTTTGATGATTGGATGCCAATAGTCGGCAGCGCGATGTGGATGTTCCATGATTTCATACCAATGTTCCAGTTGTTCACCGTGGCTATACCAACCTAGATCAACCTGCCAAGAAAACAGAATATGTTAAACGAACGAACCTTTACACGCATAATAATATTTGTTCAGAATCTATCAAAGTATAAAAGACAATTATTCTGCTGACAGGATAGAAAGGAAAAGCGCTTGAAACACCTCAAGGATTTGGTGAGAATAGAGTACATATTGTATTTTGGGGCTCACAAGACAAGATTTACTTGTTCATGCAATCCCAGAAGTTCAATAAGACCCTAAGAATGGATAATATGATTTAGTATTGAAAACGTAAGTGCCATAGTGCCCTTATGCCTAACAATAAACTTTTAGCCACGTACCTGTCCAATTTTATGAACACCAGTCATCATATCTTTATGAAGAACATGGAATACAAATACATGGCCTAATAATTTAGGATTTTCTCTGTTGATGTCGAAAACACACTGGTGATGCCAAACTGGATCTTGTGTATTCTGGCGAACTTTAGTTTTGTGTTTAGCTTCTCGTATACCATTCACATACATCTCCACTTTTACGTATGGATCTAAATTGATACAATGGTAAAGATACAGACATGTGTGAATAGATCATCTAACTACAATTAAGGTTGAAATGAAGCTACGTAATCGTGTAAATTTGTTATTTTGCTAGACCTTGAATGAAATTATCATGTTATGCCGATTTTGATGATTTCGCTTTTTGAACGTTCTGTTTAAAAACGATCATATGACTTCAAACAATTTTTAGGTTTAACTGTATTCTATTCACGTTCTATTTATCAGTACAAGTAAGTAAAAAAGCAACAAATACATAAACTAAAATAAATAACTAATATATCTTTTTAATAACACTTTGCCTCATGTGTATGTGATACTCTTTGACAAGAGAAGTATATCAAAAAACGAAACTTACTTATTGCTCCTAGAAGGGAAACTCTGGGAAGGTTTCGAGCCTCAAGGACGTTAAAAACTATTTTTCCCGCGACTGGTTGATAACAGCCGGATATTCTGAGATCACCTTGATGAAGCTGGAAGATATGGACAAAATGGGTAAAATATAAATGTTATGATGCTAAGTTACATGTGTAACATGAAATATAATATACAGTTAATGAAAGTATGGAACAGGCTAATCTAATCAACAGGTGGATGATGACTTAAGAGGAGATGAATCGAATATAGATATGAAACGTTATTATGAAACACAACTAATTTAAGACAAAATGAGTTCGTTGAAATAACAAATGTATATGAAAAAAGCCAATTCCAAAATATCAGATGCCATTTTTGCTTGACGTTTTGCATGTCTCTCATTTTGCACTTGCTCAGTTATTAGTTCCCAGTTGAACGCTGGAGCAAGCTTCACCATCTGTCGAGTACTTACCCTGTAAACGGTTTGTGGATAAAGTATTAAATCAACTTGACCATTACAGAGATTTTCTACATCCATAAGACGGACAGAGCCCACACCAACAAGATGGCGTCTGGACACATGATGTGAAGAATATACTTGAAACTCGATAGCCGAATCTTCATTTATTTCACTGGGAACTAAGTCTTTGATACAGAACTTCTCCAAGAATAGTGGATTCTGTAATAAGAAAAGTAAATATATTTAATAGGATTTCAAGAGCAAGCGGATTAGAATGTTATCGAATTTAACGAAAGTATATTAATGGTGTTGATATACGTGAATGGTTAATTTCAAGGCAATATAAGATTATATATTTTCATTAAATTTCTTACGTTATTACTTAATTTTTTTTACTAAAGATACATTTCATATAGTGTTCCAGTCTGCATTGTGATAAAACCGCTTCAGACGGAACGATTCTGTATAGATTTCAAATTCTCTCATTTAAAGAGCGTTCATGGCCAACTAAAGGTGATTCGAATGCTTCTGGACGCAAAAGATAAAATAAGGCAAATGAGAACTCCATCCTCGACATTAACAACGGTTTTTGGCACTGTGAATAAAATAATTTGGAATAAAATAGATAATACAACACAAAACAATATAATCAGATAAGCCGAAACTTAAAAGTTAACATTATTAGCCTCGCATATTTTTGTGATCATTCTTTCACGAAACGAAAGTTCTTATCTTCATCAGGCATGTAACATGTCACTGTTTATAACAAGTGAACGTGACATGCTACATGAAAGAAATACAACTCTATGATATCGACAATCTTGGCTATTTATTTCTATCAAATAACCACAAGACATTCATGTCAATGAAAAGATTATTAGTTTCTGGCTTTTTTTAAACTTGCAATAAAATCATATCTTACACGAATAGTGTCCGAGACGCTTAGACTGGAATCACACAAAGTTAAATTCTTATTGCGAGTCCAGGCCACGTATTCTCGAAACGACCTTAGCGCTAGGATGTCCTAGGTTCTTATCCTCTGACAGGGACTTCTTAGCGCTAAGATCGTTTCGAGAATACGAGTCCTGGTTCAAACAACCCACCGTGGTAGTTACGCTAGCGCTCAGCTTTTCGCAAATTGTCAATCGATGCAAAATGGAATAAGTAATAAAAATCACCGACATCCATCATAAAAAAGGTAAAAATTGCAGTTAAATTTGAATAACAACCAGGAATGATTCAGGATGGTAATTAATAAAAATCCATAAAGGCCTTCCATGTCTTCCTCAATAACTATGTATATTTGTGAAATTAATTTATAGATTTGAAATATGTGATTTTTATATGTCTATATAATCATTGCGAGATTCAGATAATCATGAAATCGAATTCTAAAACTATATTAATCAAAGATTAGAAATTTTAAAACAGAGCCTGAATCATACTGTTTCTAAGAGGTTTATGCTGAATAAAACATAATGTATTATTCACGATTTGAAAACAAAGCGCTCGAATAGCTTTAAGTTAAGAGAGGTTTTTCGGACTACAGAAGATTACAAGTAATACTAGCTTCCTATGACGCAGATAAGAATACCAAAGAAGAAGAAAATCGTTTCACTTTTGTGTTTATCACATAAAGAAGTTTTTCTCGCACGTTGTACATTATCTAAAAAAAAACTACATGTATAATAATACACTATACTAAATCATCAACACTGTAATCGTTATATTTTGAAGATTTGACGAGGATACCATTGTTTTGTTGCACTTATAAATTCTTGTTTAATTCATAACCAGGCATCTAACAAAATAATTGCTTATCTCTCATAAAACAGTCTCGTATGCAGCACCAGCTTGTGCATCAATTTACTTCAAAGAATCGTGGTCATTCACCCTTTTAAACATAACGTGGACCATAAATCGTTTTGTAATTTTTGTTTCCATTGTTAGCGACCGTTATTTCATTGTCTTCCCTTTTAAAGTACAGTGCTAACAACTTTGAAGCCATATTTCAGACAAAGAGGACCCAAGATAAAGCTGGTCAGAAATAAACATCTATTGTGCTGTTTCCATTTATGTCTTCTTTGAAGATTGTTTAATAGAATATTTATGTAGAGCATAGATTAAGGTTGCTATGGTAACAGAATTTCTTATTATATACACTGTAATAGTCACTATGTTATAGGATTAAAACAATTCAACATTAACTAGGGTTTTTACTGATCTAGTAAACAATAGTACAATTAGGATTATCTGTTTTCTCTCCTTCTTGCAGAATTCAGCCAACAAGGCGATAAGATTCATATTCTCAGATAGTTTCTGATAATGTAATGCAGTATACACCTATCGCTGTGATTGTAAAGCTACCCTCACATCATAGTGACTAATAGTCGCGTATGGTTGCGAATAATGTATGGTTGCGAATAAGGAAAGCGGTCTGAACGAAACTCACAACTCATTTGCATGAGATTTGCTGGTGATCGCTATGGTGTGAAGGTCCCTTCAGCAACTTGATTTATCAAAAGCTGTAAGATTGGAAAAATGACCTCGATTTTCTTATCATATTTGTACTGGCTCTAATAAGGATAAATATTTGCCAGAGATATGTCTAACAGAAGCCAATGATGATGTTTTTCAACATAAACCCACATTTTGTCTCCGTGTCTCACTTTTGACTATTTTTGCTCTTAGGGAACGAAGTTTTCAACACCAGGTTCCCTATTTCCAAACAATTTCACAATAAATATTAGAATAAGTATAAAATATCGATGGTTTTTGCGATTCAGAAAACATTTTGAGTTGAAAGATTTGTATCTGAGTAATAACACAGTACTGCTATTTCTAGAGCCCTCTATTCAAAAGAAAACATTGATGTCGTGCAATGTAAAGTAAAACGCAAAATACTTGACATTAATGCAAGAATAGATGGAAATTGTGGTTAAACACCGTCGCAATAATCAAACATAAAGACGAAGCTGCATTAAATTGGTATCATATTTGTCTTGAGGCAACCACGACACCTTATTCCGTCACTGCTTAAAGAAGTATTGTGCTTCAATTGCCTTTTTATAGTTATCATACGCTGAAGGGCCATATTTCGCAATATCTTATTTTACAGACCAAACATATGCACGAAGCAAACGTCCATGACTCTTTCTAGGTTGAAGGTCGTAGACTGGAGGTCCTCCCCGACACACAAATGCGAAATCCTCCTATTCCTGAAATTTTTAGCAAAAGATAATATTAAAACCCAGTATCCGTGATACAGAGGCTTGGACTCTTTTCAAGAATATTAAACGTACCTTTGTCTTGGAGAAGGTTTTGGTTCTGTACTTAACAGTTCTTCCAGGAACTAAGAAAGCCTTGACGTAAGGATTGACATCGACATCTTTAGGGATTCCGGGAATCACCAAATTCTGGGCCTGAAATTAACAACAAAAAACGTGAACAAAAGGGGTTGATTGTCTCAGATATAGCTTTCGAGCAAGTAAGGTTAATGAAATTGAAAAACAATGGTGGTCGGATAACAATGATAAAGATATTTTCTCATCGTTTCAGTCGATATTATTGGTATGAAATATTTAGAAAGGCCAATACCAAGTGTTTGCTTTCGACCGACAAGAATACAAGATCCCGAGAACACGTGAAAACGTTATTTATGATTATTATGAATAACGTGTATTTTATGGTCTGAATTCCAAAACCAGGTTATCTCGCTGGCTCACCGACTTATCTTGATTTAAGTGACATTTAAAGTATAAACCCAGTATCGAAGACATTTATTTCTAGTGAGGTGAGAGGTTCAACCTGTCGTAATCAGTCCACTGACGTCAAGAAGGCTTGGTGACCTAACATAGTTAGCAGAAATTCACACTTCTACAGATTTTAGACAGCTAAAACGTCTTGAACTTTAATTAAGAGTTATTTAGTTAAACCTGTCAATTATAAAAACTGCCTGCGAGATTTAACCTTTCTACATCCTTTCATTTCTATACCTTAGCTATAACTTATATAACTAGTCAACTAAATTCCTAGATTTTCTTCTAATCAGTAGGCTTTTCAGTTTAAAATAATGTAAAAACCTCAATTCATTGGTCTCATACTGATATCCCGTGTTAGCAATTATTTTAAAGGAATGTTAAATTACAATGTTAGAAAGAGACAAAAACGACAAAATTGGAAAAAAGATGAAGAAACAGTTAACCTAGACCATTTCTTCTGGAGGATATATAGCCCGAGACACCAGCAACTCTGGCATACGTCCTTTGGAAAAGATATCGACATAAATAGCGTATAACAATATCAAATTATATGATTGATATAATCAAACGCCTTATTAAAATCATCTAGTACAACAATTATGCAGATCTAGATGTTTCGTTTCGTGATTGTTTGGGAGTTTATGCGCTGTGAAGAAAATCCTCTTAAAATCGAGTCTAAATTTGACCCTGAGATAAAGTTAACCAATCAAAACACTGTTACAAAATCAACGTTGATCATAAATGTCAAAAGAATTTCACAAGCTTTCATGTGGCAGACAAAGCTTTTTCACAACGGAAACATTTTAAAGACCTGTCAATCATAAATAGAAATCTACAGTTATAACCCAAAGCAACATTTCTATCGGCAATTTAAACAGATTGATTATAGACAAAAACGACTCAAAATTATTCAACAGACACCAAAACTAGCAATTTTGAAATGAAATCCGCCCTACGCTCAGGTTAATGTGTCAATTAAACACGTCAATGCGTCAGTTTTTAATGTGAATTAGAAATATCACTGATCTGTCACTGAATGTAATGGCATGCTTAATCCAGTAGATTAATTTCAACATGGAAATTAGACACTGCTCTGTCTGGGTGTCAGTTAACTTGTCATCAAGGCCAATCTTTCTGAACTTCCAAGTTACAAATTAGTTTGAAAATTAAAGCCTATTTTTTTTATTTCTCACCTTCCACATATTTAATTGCCACTGTTGATTGTAGACATGTTTTTTAAGTTGCTAATTAGAGCCCTTATTCTTGATCTTTAATCTTCAGACGATTTTAGTGTTCCAGTCATCTGATTAATTTTATCATCCAATTAGATTACTGTATTTCTTAAAATTTGGATTTTGTTTAAGTTATATTTTGTAGAATTAAGGCCCTGATATTTTCCGATTCTTGATAAAAACTTTAATCTCTCGGTAGATGGAAATAACGATGAACTGTTAAATATCAGTCACACCGACAAACCGCATCAACCGACCAGCAAGAAGTAGAATATGGCATAAAATGTTAATTTCAACCGGAAGTAACAAATTGCGCATTCAGAAGACTGCGGCCAGTACCAGCCTCGACTTCTCGCCCTTGTCGAAAGGCAAGAGTAGTAATGGCCTAAGTCGACTTCCATAGTATTCTCCTTTCGACATGACAATATATTAGAAATGCAAATGGTTGATAAGAAGTCTGTACAGATTCCTATTGTGGGATTATCTTCTGAGAAACAACCAGACACCTTTAATCCAGAAAACATCAGATCTAATCCAACATTCAGTGGTTTCAGAGTGAATTTGAATGCAAACTATCTAAATCGACAAATAACGACAGAACTGAGTTGTCTCCATATCTTTGAAGTGAGTGATTCATTCAAAATCATTCAATTCAGCATCATCCTATTTTGGAATGTGCTACGGCGTTGCTTACAGGTACGAGTTTCATGGGTCGAGATGTCACCTTCAGATTTGTAATTTCGGAAGCTAGAGCCAGTGTCAAAATATAACTGACATGGACAAAGTTCGCCATTTCATGTGTATAGTAAAATTCTTCTAATTTAAGATTAAGGAACAAATTGTCATGTTTTACTACATTGGTATAACGTCTATTGTAAACTACTTGTCTTCATTAATCTAACAAAGTGCAGAACAGTAGCGCGCAAAACCATAGCTATCTTATAAAAATCCGTTTATTATAAGACATCTATGCGCTAAACTCCATTATTCCTTTTTGCCGAAAAACATTCGCGATATACACCCCAGTACAGGTTTTGACTGGATCATAGCCTTTCTTTTACACAAGTTAACGTCTTGTGACGTCACTAACTATGGCTATAGCCTGAAGGGGTTTTCTAACTCAGGAACTACTTTCAACACGAGTTATCCCACGTAATAATTATGAAGGAGTAAATTGGTTGAGTATATCCTGTAACTATCAGTAATTACTACGCTAATAGCATACCGAGAAAATTGAGGCCTTTTAGAAAATATTGATTATGTCAATTCAAAAATATTCCACTAACAGATCCACTAGGCTCAAATAAGATAAATATGTACTCAGTGGTCAGTATGTTAGCAATCTTTAGATATTTTTTCGTAACAAAAAATGATGACAATCTAGTTGAATATAGCCAGACATACAATCACTCGCCCAGTCAGTTCAAACCTGCCATTTGAAAACTAGAAAAACTCAGTAATATTCTATAATTCTGTTTGTTACTCATAGAAAGATAGAATACAAGCTAAGTAACCCTTAGCCCGACAACGTGATAACGATTTAGCTTTATATAGATATCAAACGTTATGACAAACGAGGCTTCTGTCATGGTGAAAATTCTCAAAAACTACCAAAATAGACGACATAAAATGTGTGACCCTAAACAGTGAGGATATCACACCTGTATATCACATCTGAGTTGTCGAACATGATGAACCTATATCCTTGTGGTAGATCAAGACATTCAATTAAATCAACAATAACGGAGATGATGGGGAGAGCGGAGGGGGTGGAAAATTGAGCAAATACCTTAACAACGGCGTAAAATCAGCGCTTCTGCGAAATAACACTTTGCAGAAACACAATTTTGAAAATGGTTCTTTGTTACATTGACTGACATTAGGTATAATCTGGTTATATAAACTAATACTTTATGAGTGCCACGATTGTCATTTTATTGAGGTAATCGAGAATATAATTAAATAAGTTATAACGTTATTTGGTGTATTAGGTTTATTATCCCGCCTGGATGAAGCTTCAATATTGTAAAAAGTATAAAAGTATGAAACGTCTTAGCTGGTGCCCCTATTGATGACCTTGACGAAAAGACCTGATTACTCCAAGCTTTGCACAAAGTTCACTATACATGTCACGTTACAGGGAGAAAAGACACTATCAATTCAGTTTTTTAGATTGGTAAGGGTAGCTTCTTTTAATGAGTCAATTCTGGCTCTCACAAATGTACCGATTATTTGAGATGCTTTAAGCATCTTTGAAATTGGCTTGTATATACTATAATTTATGGCCAGTAATCAATCAGTGGTAATGGATTGATAGATAATGGTCCAAAGATTACTACAAATAGTTCATTAATAAGATATTTCCGGTATCACAAACTGAGGTAATATAACCCTGAGGTGACAAAATGATCTCGAGTAATTAGCCTTTCACATCCAGACATCTATAATAATAGGGCTATATGTCGGTCAATATCGCATATGGATGTTTTCCACCAATTGCCTCCTGTGACATAATTCATCAAATACTTACTCACCTCAGAGCCGGAAATGACGTCTGTGGAATTTTGTTTAAGATAAGAATGATTCATCATAGTGTACTGCGATGTTTTGACCCCGACCAAAATTTCAAGACGTTGGAGACGCGGTAGTAAGTTAAGAATGACAGATAACTGTCATAATATCTATCAGAGGCTGGAGTAGAGGTAGATGTTTCGGTCTACCTGTCAGCGATACAGGCCAGAAAGATTGACACGGAAGTCAATACTTTAATGCAACAGAAAAAAACCTCTCTTACCAGCAGAAAAACTCAATTCATTTCATATTATAACCATGCATTTCTGATCGTTTACCTTACATCTACTGGAAGCTTTTCGATTGGATATACCATACGAAACTATGTATGGTCCTTACAAGGAAATAACACCCACGAACGTAGTTCACAGCCATATTGAATCTCTACCTCGACTAAATTTGTCGAATTTTTAAAAAGGCTATAATGTTTAAACAAAGCTTTTCATTGTGATAAGAAGGCTTGATTAAAATATTATAACCTTTGTCGAAATCGACTATTTTAGTGGAAGTACTAATTCAAAATGGCCGTGAACTACGTTCGTGTGTGATATTTCCATGTAAGAACCATACATAGTTTCGTATGACGAATATACGTGACATTTCAAGACAATTTACAGAAAATCAAATTTATCTAAATCGGGACGAATAGTTCAGAACAAGATCGAGTTTTATTCGTCAAGTTTTATTCGTCAAGTACAAATCTCTTTCACATGAATCTATATTTAATTGTCACATTCAATTGACGAGTGGGAATAGGACTGGCGTGATTTTATTGAACATGGCTCTTAAAGACTTGAAGTGGACCTTTCCTGTACACTTGATTATGTATCTGAGAAGTAACCAGTCAAATATAGAATAACTTCTTTAAATAAAGAACCTACATTATGTTGCAATAACTCAATCAGCTGTCAGTCCTTGGAAACTCAAATCACATGTTAAACCGTATAGTGACAATGATTACACAGCGCAGTATTTGCTAGCCTGATTAATGAGTTCATCAAGACATTACCGGATATTCTAAAATCTGCACTACGGTACTAAGATACAGTCGAGCGGTAGGCTTTTCCCTTCTTCGTACAACTCGGTAAGTCAAGCCTGCCACTCGACTGTATTGTGGTGCCGTGTGAGCCACATGGGCATTGTAGAAATCCCGGTAATATCTTGGACTCATTGATAGTTCAGCGTTGTGGCACCAAAGGTTAAGCCGAATTTGGCTTCATGGTGAAAATTCTCAAAAACAAGCGATCCAAAAATATTTCAGAGCATCGTGCCGATATCCCATCCGTATATCACGTCCGACGGGACGGAAAATTATTTATAACCTCAAAGGATATCACATTACGATGACCGAAACAGATGGATATCATTAGCCTGATTTGCAACAACCAAAAGAAAACAAGATTACTACAGCTAGCCGAGAAGGAAGGAAGAGGTCACGATGAAAGCTAAGGAAAATAGCACAGTATGTGTATGGTTTATAAATAACCTTCTCGGGATTCAGATTACGAAAGAAATATGGTTATGCTCAGATGTTATTATCGCTTCATCAACGCCAAAATTAAAACAAAATCATTTCTGTAAAAGGATAACTTCCTACAGTGCTACCAAACACAAACATAATTTGGGGGGGATCTGAAGTGATTTTTCCAGTCGGGAGAGCACAATTTCAGATTAAAGTCCGTTTCGTATGTAGTAGCCTACTGGATGAAGTGACATAACTTACTTCCCGGCCGTTTTCAGAAATCATAACGAATGATGTTTTAATAAAATATTCATTGAGCACCTACCTCAATAATTATGACTGTTATAGCATGTTTATCATCCGTGAACTGTAACTGAACCTTCAGTTTTCCTGTTGGGCTGACTGGTGGTGCGTATCGTGGTACCAGTTCATCAAGGTTCAGATCATGGAGAGCTACTGGTGTATCGGGTAGTCCTATTACTCCGGGGGTTTTCTGGAAGAAAAAAACATTCATTAGTTTCTACCAATGTTTCGCCAAAATGTTGTTTCGGATTATCTGGTTTCGTTTTGCGGTTCGGATCGTTAGTACTTTGTATATGAAATGAATGGAGTTTTACGTCCTACTTTTCTGCACCATATGGGCTGTATTCATCTGTAATTATAATTCATCAGCACTAGAAATATGTGGGAAGGAAACCGTAGATCAGAGACATGACCCATCTCTGTAATAATTTTTCCGCCACGGCATTGCTAAATTTATGGAATTGAACTTTTCTTTGTCACAAGTAGATTTTGATTGCAAGTGGGATAATTTCAATTTGGTTACTTTTTAAATCTTAAAATTTGTCAAATTGAAACTAATGGGCACTGATGGAAAAGCCCCTCCCACAAGAACTAAGATTGGTTCGAATTGGACCTCAATTCTCAATTTTCTATTCATGTCATATTCTGTGCTGTGAATCTTCATCTAAAACAAGACTGGTGCGTTAGACAGATAGCAGAAAGTGAATGAATGTTTTGGTTATGTTTTAGAGTAAAGTCGAGATAAAACTGTCAAGAAAGTCGACAATAACAGTTCAGAAACATAAACTCAAAATACAGAAAAAAATACGAATGAGAAGAGAAAATCCATTTATGAAGCTATTTACAACAATTTGTAAGATTTAAAGTTCTTAATGGAACTAAATAATGATTGTATTCTACTTTTTATCACAGATTGTCAAGAACCTATTTTAAATGATGCACTGTGTTTTCTGTTTTTGTAATAATCTCAGCTTTAAATCACAAGCTAGGCTGTCATTATGTCTTGTCATTTACACAGTTAAAAAAGACAGCAAAAAACTGAAATCTATAAACTCGCGTAATTATCTCCCCTTTTCGAGTTTCCGCTGACAGAAATTAAGAAAGGCAAGTTATAAACTTATATGTTTTCCTTCTTCATCTGTTTTTTAAATGAACAACACAACACGACTTAAATTAATGTTTGAAAAAGGATCATAGAATTAAAAAGTTCTTTTAAAGAAGGACATTAGAAACCTCTTAAATTTGGCGTAGGAGATGCACATTGTTAAACAGTATACTGTTACAGGAAGTGAATTGGTAACGTCTGGGGCATCTGTGGTGGTTTTGAAAATAACATGCTAGCTCATCTTCACATTGTCAAGCTATTGCGAACTTCGTATTGTACCTTAACTGCAATAGACACCTTTCACGGAGTGCAGCGATTTTATTGGATTGTACGTTAGCCACTAAACATTGTGGGTTTTGTTCACAGACTTTCTGTCGAGGACTTTGACTGACTGAATTCCTTAACCTTCAAACCAACTAAATCTCCACATTTACAAACCGCCATGACACAAGAAAGGTGGTTATTACAGTCAAGGTTTAAGTCAAAGTTTGTAATAGCTTACCATTGTGAAGAAGGTCGATCCTGGAGAAAGATGAACTAGCACCAAAAGCAGAAAAGTAGGAAGAAATTAGCTACATTCATATTTTAATGAGGGGAAAAGAACCTTCAAACAAGCCAACATATTGCTCTCCTTTCTCCGCTTATCTCTAGATTTGATATAGCAACCTTGTAAGCCATTTCTTTAAACCACTAAAGATTTATTCGTATCATAAAAATGAGAGAGAATGTAAAATTGAGGTAATTAATTGATCATTGAACAGTTTACAGTAAATTTGTCAGCACAAAACAACAGCTTATCAATCAACTTCGCCCATGTTTAAAATAGAACAAAAGAAGCCTGTTATAAAATCAGGATAATTCAGTTATAAACTCGAAGTTGGCAGCTGATGTAGAGAACTGAACGTGATAAATAAAAACGCTATATCTCCAGAGACATACAATATGTTATTAGTGCAAATAGCCTCACTACGATTGGTGATAATCAGATTAAATGAGATGATGGGTCAAAGTGCATATGGAATAAACCACAAAATACAAGACTGCAGTTTTGATTAAAATCAAACATAATGTTTACCGACTCTTTCCTGCTAATAAGAGGGTCAATGAACACAGGCATTCGTGAAAAAAAGATTGTGTTCGAGGGCTCTTTAATGTACCAGCACAGAACCACAAGATAACGGAGCAATGGTTGTTTATCTTGCCTTCAACGACAAGGCGCTTTAACCGTATCATCACTTTAGGGAATAAGGATCTAAAATCCAAACATAAACCACACGTTAGAAAGCAATTGCCTATATACTCCTGAGATTGAAGACTAATTTCTGAAGCACTTCTATTCTGGAGTCTTGTATAGGGTCAATATTTCCAATTAACATCGAAAGTTTTTGCCAATAAAAGCGCTCTTTTTCAAACGAGGGGGTTACGAGTATGATATTTACAAATTGCGTGTGTGTGTGTTTATGTTAAGAAAACAAACAGTATTTAGAAGCGTGTAGAATGGTCAGTTTGAAAACCACGTGATCGTTTTTACCTCCATCCTTAAAACATGTATGAGGTTTACTTTCTAAAGTGAAAAACAGAAGTAATATTGCATAGTTCCATACGTGTTGAAGAGACGGGAATATTGCAAGGTACACTTACTCTTGTTTTCTTCTTCATGTAGGACATAGGTGTGGCTGAACCTCCGGATTGGTCGAAAGCTTGTATACTGCTACTGACTAGCGAGGATAGGGTGGATCTTCTCTGGTCTACTATCTTCGTCGGTCGACCTGGAAATAGAGAATTATAATTATGCATGAAAGAAAATATTCCGAAAGTACTACACTTTAAGACGGGGCACCTTGTGAAGTGTTCAATGTATTGCAACGCATTAACCGAGATTCCATCTGAAGTGCACAAACTAGATGCTTGACCATCATGTGACAAAGGATGAAAAGGTATGTTGCTAGCTTATTATGGCTACATTGAACTCGGCAGCCAAATGTTAGTTATCTCTCTAATTTCTATAAAGTAAGATGTTACTTAGCAGAAATTAGTTGGCATTGATTTAAAACAATTTTCAGAAACATTCCACCCTGATCCAGAAGGAATTGGTGTCTCCTCCCGTTTGCCATTGAGAAGCGAAACAACCAATGGATAAAAGTGATGTTATGACATCTCGGCACATCTGGCCAAATTTCCCTGAATACAAACTTGGTGACTTTTCATCATACGATATTACACACCTAGATTAGTTACAAGAAGAAGATGTATGAACTACATGTAGTTGTGCATGTATCTCCATCAGACAATAGATCGAGGAATAGTTTCAGTCATAGTTTAATTAAGCCTTTAAAAAACTTTCAGTCTCCGATGATCTAGGGCGTTAATATTTTTACAGATTGTAGTAATTGTTAATGTTATCTATGTCAGTTCATTGTACACCCTACATTCACTGTGATCTCTTTTAATCTCTTTGATATACCTTTACTATACCTGTTAATATAGTGATTACAACTTCAGGTATATTAGTGATAGAGGTCATTGATCTACCAATCATAAGCTTAGTTAATATATTCCACCTACAGCATTCTCTAGATTAATATAGTAACAAACTCCGTTGGTGGTCATTCGTGGTATTAGGGGTTGTATAATAACCAGCATGTATTTAATAACCAGCTGATAGATATCGGGATGAAAAGATATATTTTGTGGCGCCATTCTTGGCGGTATGCGTACTTTTCTGGGCACATGATACCACTTTTCATAATGAACTATTTCCTTATTTATAATTGATATAAATCCTCATATGAATAGTTCCATTGCTGCAACCCGTGTATTGCCAAACTGTCATATATAGATTTGTTTTGCGGTTCGGATCTCAGGTACTTTATTTTTGTTATTAATTTATGTAATAACACAACATCTGTATCCATTGGCTCTATATTGGATGAGAAAACCAAAAAATAGATATAGACTAGAGCAGGTATTCAACCTTTTTCATTACCCCTTTCAGGTTCCTTGATCGATTTCATTACCCCCTTCCTCCTTAAATCCTTACTTCTTTGTGATTTTCTCTTAGATTTTCCTTAGGTTGCTAGCCTACCAAGTGACTCATTAAATATAAACAAAAATAAAAATTATCCCCTTGGACGTAAGCACCCCTAAATTGAAAACATTTGGACAAGAGAAATATCGTGATCTTCGGCTTTTCATTTTGAGAAGTTCTTTCACCGCTGGTCACCCTTGCTAACTTCAAAAACTATTATTTGTTATCAATCAATCTCGAATGTGGAATATTGTAGAGTTATAGAGATGAAAAAAGGTCATTAGCTCCCAATTACAAAGAGTTCCACGCCTTTATCATATTTTATTGATACCTAGAAACGGCTTTCTTGAATAGTAAAATATATCGTCCAAGAATGACAAAGGAGGTCTTTAAACTATGTTTAGATTATCATCTTTAACAATTACATTGTTATTCCTCCTACAACGCAGACATACTTCTTGTTTTATTTTAAAAAACAGCAAGTGCTCGTTTAGAATGAACGAATTTCTAGTTCAATTGAAGGAGCTTTAAGATAAGTACAAAACAGTTCTAGCTCCCATTGGACACAAACCTACAGGTGGTTTTTCGCTTTCTGCAATGCAAAAATGACAACATAAGCATTTTTATTCAAACCACAAACTCATTAATAGTCTATATTTCATTGTTCTCTTTCTAGAGGCAAATCAATTCAGTTTTTATAATACAAACAATTCGAATTTCATCCAACACAAACCAAGCAACTAACAAAGAGTCCGGGAATTTTCGTTTTCAACTGAAAATAATGAAAAAAAAAAACAATCGAAACTGCCTTGAACTTCAACAACAAATATACCAACATTGTACATTATTGGCTATGACACATCTATGTACGGCCAAAAACTTAAACCCAAACAATCAACTTTTTTTATGGTAAGATACAGGCGAAAGTAGTTATGAACATAGGCGTTCGTGTCGACGGCCTGTTGGGGAGGGGGAGATGGGTCAGGGCAGGATGGTTCGCCCGAAATTTTCCAACCAATTCTACCTGTATTTTTCTTTGTTTTCGGGTTGTTACCTGATATTTTTTGCCCTAAGAGAATTGTGATGAACAAATGAACACAATATTATTGTGGTTTCAATCGCTATTTGATACTTAATCTATCCCTCAGCTCAGAACCTGATGTGAATAAGTATCCATGCTCAAATGTATGTTGAGAGCAAGCGTTGCTCGGTTGACAAACGTAGTCGTATCAGATTGACATATTGAGATTTTCCACAGAAATCATTAACGATAAATTTGCGATATATTCCTATTCGAAATTCAATAAAATCGACATAGTATACAGATGTCATTAGAGGACAACCACCCACCCTACAAAACCAATCTATCCAACCGGAAGTAAGGAGGTGTGCCATCATTTGAAAGCAGTTGGTTTGTACTTCCACGCAAGTTATAGTTGAACTATTTCAGAAAATAATTTGATTCAATATTATTATTGGCTTCGAATCGAGCATCAATTGAATAACCCACGAAAATTATTCACAACGTTTATTTAGAGTTGTATTTTAATCGGCCATGTGCATAATTTTCGTGACAATGTGGAGTCAACTGTGTAACTTAATATAAGTTAATGTTATATAAATTGTTTTTAAGATTATAGTGTTCTACAGTATGATTAAAGTTAAAATATATATACTTTACGATCACCACCAATAGATTTAGCAGACCGGATAATGGATCTCAAGTTTTGTTTGCTAATGGATTCTATGCATCGGTCTATTTGTTTAAATTTAGAAAAACATAAAGCACTTGAAACTCTCTGATTCGTTATGAAAATATTTAACTTTTAATATAACATAAAGACATGAAGAAGAGTGAAAATCGAAGTTTAAAGAGTGTTTAGAGACCATGGAAGTTAATTATTTCTGGGTGGTGTAATCTGCCGGATCTGTCACTTTTTCCTAACCCTGTACAAACAGGTTATGTTAAAACTGCGAATAGACGAGGTACAGTGTACACCGTACCTCGTCTATTCGCACTTTAATAATGGTGTAATCCAATAGACACCACTAAGAGACCCACTCGTTATTGTCAATATGCCACTGTAGATATCGTTTGTATACTGGACAAAACCGATTATTTTGAAAAGCAATGCGATAACTTGAAGAGTGTGAAGCTTGCCAAAATTAGGGTTTGTAATACATAACTGTAACTCTTAATCCGTTAGTCCTTGTTTCAAAATTAACAAAATTAAGAAATTTTTTAAGTTTAAATTTCTGAATCAATGAGGACTCATTTGAGTCCATGCTCCCACTTAAACTGATATTTTCTCTTCCGTAATCAAAGAAAACGCAATGATTTGCCAATTCATTAATGGATAATGAACTATCTCCAATAAAATATCGTCATATAAAGGGAACATGGTGTATCAGAAGTCAAATGCAATCCAAGTCTTAGTCAAAGTTCATGAGCCGAAGAATTCATGATGTAAACACAAAAAAGACACCAGCAATCATTGATCGTTCAAGATGAGAAATGTTTGTCTGCTCACGTTAGCTTTAATGTTTTTGTCTGTTTGGGATGCGGCTAATCACACCCACCGTTTACACTTTCATGTGAGCACGTAGGCGTTCGCTCTAGAAATAGCTGACTTTCATGTCATTAGTGTTGATAGGAATAAATATTGAAAATTATTTCAGGAACTCAGGCGTGTAAAGGTTTTATTGACCCGGATGGAAACAGCAGGAACCTCTTGGAGCTTTCTGGAATCGTTATAAGGATGGACATGGTAGAAAATTGTAATAATGAACACAATAGGTGACTGTTGACATTCCATTTATAAACTTTAAATTGTGGTTATTTTCAATCTGTGAGCAGTGCTGGTGGTAAAAATATCTAGATATTACTTCACGGCATGGATGGTGATAATAAAACACTTTCCTTACTGAGAACCGAAAGGTCAATCTAATGATATACCTATGACATATTTGAACTGGCAATGAAATGTGTGTCCTTCATTCATTGGCATGATTATAATTCACATTGGCATGATTATAATTCAACTGATTCTTTGTCGTTCAAGGAAGAACCTACTGGCCTGTTCAAGTCGTTGTATTCAAAAAGCGAATAACCGCACTACAGAATACTGCCATTGTCCCCCAAGTACCATTTCCTGAAGCTATCTTTATAAGGTCGGTTAAGAAGGGCAATTAAGTACAGTACATTTTGACTGGAAATTCATTCCTATATCTAATCCAGAATTGGCAACACATCTGTATCGCTTTCAGGGGATACTTTAGCGTAGATAAACAAGAAAAACAGCAACGGTAGTATGATGTTCTCAGTGCAAAGACAAATATTAAATTTTGATACTTTCCCACGGGGACGTGAGCGCCACGTGATTGCCTGTTTATTTAAAGGGATAAATGCAATTGTGTAGTACGTAAAGCTCGAATACGTTTCGTGTGGTGTTCCAGAGTTTGAAGATGATGGTGTTTACTTGGTGAGAGTAGATGACAGAAAACCAAACAACCATGCAACCGTTACACGCAATTCATTTCAAACCTGACAAATTGGTCTTGTTTTGAAACACGCTATGTATGGAATGATCACTCGCAGCAATTTCCTATTGATTATATCCCAATCAGATCGATACTCAGTCAATCACCAAACATTGTTTATTTATATCAAAAGACAAACAAGAGTTTATCAGAAAAGGATAAACATAAACAGACGTGATATTAATATTTTATTATAATTGTTATAAGTCTATTATAGCATCAACTACTATATAACTAGCCTCTCGATCTTGATTGGAAATATTTGAGATTATCAAAATAGTTGCAAATGTGGCTAATACAAGAAAATATTTATAAAATATGATACTTACTCCTATATATCTACTTGATAAATATGAATTTGCGTTTAAGAAACGGATTTGATGCTGGGCTTTAACAGCTCGATACTTTTTTTTTATTGAAGCCTTTAGAGTTATTATCAATAATCTTTCCTTTAATCCGTACATGAGTATTACCCAAAACCAACCAAAAAAAATGTAAACGGTTTTCATTCAAGAGTAAGTAAAAAATTAAAAGATAATGTAAAGAACACTTGTCTCTGGAGTTTGACCTAACGTTTTCGTTAATTTCTGCACTTAACTTAGAAAACCTACTAAAAAAACTGTCCCCTCTAAGAATGGTATGTAGATTTTATGCCCATTTTTGACTTCCAAAATTAAGCCCTTCAACCGTTTCTCGTAAACATCTCGTGGCATACAACTTATTTCATAATACTCTCGGCAACGTCGACTGTGTCACTATAGAGATTTCTTCGGAATATACACATTGGAGGATATGACCTATCATTTAATATCAGCAGATGGTTTGATTCAAGGAACCGATTGTACGTGTATATGTCTAATTTGTGTAATATTGACACGACTTCCACCCATCAAGTACCAAAAGGACATTAAAGCGGAAATTACGTCATAACCAGTATTTTATCAATAATCTCTAAGCCAAATCTTAGAAAAGAAAAACTGTAATTTTATCCTGCTTAGAGTAATAACATCCGATTAGAGATTATAGCAGTAATACCACAAATCAAACGCTCAGAATGTTATTTTAATGTTCTTATGTAAGAATATTACTATAATCCGAACCGATCTGCGTGTTTTTTCCAGTTTTGTTTTGCTTCTAAACAGAAAGACTATAACAGAATAGGAGTTTTTTATGGATTAAAACCATTATCTTTCTTAAACACGACGTTTCGACAAGATTTCACTGGTAGTTATCAAGTGTACAAAATATAACTTATGAGGTAACATGGAGGCAATGTAATATAACACAAGATAACAGAAAAATTGCTGTAGACAACTGTTCTTCGGGGACTATGGTAGTTTTCTGTGGTAAGTGACTTAGTGTTCTGGACTATGCTTCGGTAGACATTCAATGCAGTTAATCACATTCAGACATAATTTCATTGTGAATGTTCAGCAATACAGATCAACAACAATTACATACATGGGTCTTATAATATATTCATATTGTTCAACTTTAAGCAGTAAGGTTGGAGTAGCTATGACGGGTGTGGCGCCAGGCAGGGTATGCTTACTCTTCTAGACACTTTTCAATATGAAATACTTACTCACTTATAATTTATATACTTCCTAATGATAAAGTTCATGTAGCTTCTACTAATATTTCGTCAAAAGGTTGTGGATATCGGGTTTCGTTTTGCTGTTCGGATCGTTAATACATGGTTTGTTTATTGGACAACCAAACAAGAAATTTGTAGCTTTAATCATACTAATTCATTTTATTCGCGTGTTTAAGAATTGCAACAATTTCAAAACGATTATATATGATTAGCCATACAGTCTCCTGGAATAAATAGCTTTAAATTGTTTTTGATTCCATTATTTATCAACCGATACTTTAATAATAGTTTAAGTTTTTAAAAATCTCGAAGTCAGATCGCCTCATATACAATGACCTTAAAAAGTACAATTATAAATTTAGTGCCAATAGACGCGTTCACTTCCTACTTATTCGCTACTAACTTGTTCAGACGTCCTAAACGTATACTGCATGCAGTATATGGAATACAGTTGACCAATCTGAACGAAAATGATTGATAAAGTAGAAACTTTGATGAAATATCTATCTACGTCAGTAACTTACTCCAGTCTGGAAATAAGGCATTTTATCTTTGTGGTCAACTGTCACCGAACGACTAAATGACATAAATCACTGATAAGGTAAACGATTGAAAAATAATCAAACTCTATCTAAGGGCAAGTAACTAACTTTGTCTGAAAATAAAGCATTCCATCTTTGTGGTCAATTCTGACATCTGATACTAGGTAAATGTCAGCAATGTTAGCTCAATGAATTAAATAATAAAATAGAAATGGAAAATCAACATTAGACTGTTATTTCTGTATGATTTAATGTTGATATTGCATGTTAAAAAACGTTTATTGTTCAATCTTTCATAAAATATACTGATACGTATGAATATTTGTATGATTTAACAATATTGGGTATTATACTGTACAGTATAATGAGTGAAACGTTTCGTGGCATGTTCATTCATCATGATTATCAGACAATTGTACATGACAATACAAAAAATCTTATGTTCGAGAAATACGTGTATACATAATGTTTAAAAAAAATTATATTACATTACGCTGAGATTTTGTACTTTTTCTCAAATGTATGTCATTTAGTAGAAATTTGAAGTGATGTATTTTAAATATTTTATGTATGAGTTGTATTACACTATCAGTAAAGAGCTGGGTGTGTTGTAAGTGCCCCTTGAATTGTATTGATTGGTTTCATCCACCGACGTTCCTGCATCGCTTCATATACCATACCTTGTACAGATTTTATTCGCCTAAATTTTATCAAGGCGAAGAATATCTAAAAATTTGGAAATCGTGGCCCAAGGTCCTGAAATAGTACAATCCAAAAGATATCATAATTGATGTTAGTTTTAGTCTCAAAAAATTCCTGCTTACCTTCAGTTGGTATTGGTCTGAATGGTTTCTTCAGTTCAGCCAGAGAGTGACTGCGTCTGTAAGGTGGTATCTGTCGGCCTTCTAATCCACTAGCGTCAACACTGATCCTTCTACCAGCACCTATACCAATACCAGCAACACTGGCCCGTACACCCTGTTCTCTCACCATCTCTTCTAGCTCTAGAGTCTCAGAGTCAGAGAAATCTGAAACGAAATTAGATAAAAATTTTAAAAAAAATTAGCAATGGACTATTTTGGAACTGGAGAAGTTCGTTTCTAAAACTTGATATTGCTATTTGCATTTTTTGGCCATTCATAGTTTTTATGGATCGGTTCGAAGACAAAAAACATGAACGAAAGATACTACTGCTGTGTGCCTCATGTTTCTGTTGGACATAGACTCGCCTTCGCCTCAAACAACTCTGATTGATTCGACCTTGATCATTTAATATAAAAAAGTTAAAAACCATCAGATTCCACCCTTCATTTTGCGCTTGTCAATTTAGCGAAGTAATTCATTTGACATTTGGCTCTTGAGGTAACTCGTTAAATCAAATATTGCGCAACGCCACGACAAATGGCATTAATCTGTTTCACAATGTGTAACGAAGTCAAAGACGGAGTAAACGAGTGTCCAATAAGTCTCTCACAAGAAGATGAGCAGATAAGCAGCTTAAATGCAGCTCTTGTGTGTCTCAGACAGCATTTATGCAAAGATCCGAAGATTGTCTTGCACTGGTGACATTAATGATTTTGAGTGGGCGTTAAACCCCTTCAACACAGCAGTGCATCTTCCGAGAACCCGATAATTTATAATTGTGCGCAACAAGCATTAAAGAAAACAAAATAATTTCGCTCTCAAAGCGAAAATAACTTTGATCCAGTTTTGTGTTGACCCCGGCGACAACTTGTTCTTGTCAACACTAACACAATAAATGCAAATACAATGAATATACTCTTCTTACCTGCGAATGAAACGTCCGTATCATCAAATCTACTTCCATCAGAACCTTTCCTACTACTTCTACTACTAGCTCCAGATCCACGTCGGTCGGACGGATCGGAAATTAACGATGTCCTCCGACTACAAATACTACTTCCAGAACCTCTCCGATCATAATCGGAACCATACGACGTTCGTCGACTACACAAACTACTTCCGGATCCTCTACGATCAATGTCCGATGAATATGACGTTCGTCTGCTACCACAACTACTTCCGGAACTTCTGCGCAAGTCCAGAGCTAATGCTCCTAGCATCACGTGATCTGAAGCAGATGCATAAGAAGTCCTCCTGCTTCCATAATCCACAAAAATTTGAGGAACAACAAATGGCGGCTCATCACGACTCCGCTTTCGAATTAAAGGTCCGAATATTAAATGTTTCTTTTCTTCTTTCTTTGGTTGTTTTTTACACTTTCCTGAAATTAGAAAACGAAAAAAAAAAATCTCAAGGAGAAATTCGACATCAATGATTATCATTGAACATCGCAATAAAAATGTACACTAATGTACCATAAACTAACTTGATAAACATAGACTTCGATAAAAAAAAACATTAATCTTTCAAATTTATCTTTAATATTTTCTCCGATGTTTAATATTACTTCTATTCTTGTATAGTTTCCACGCGAGCACTTGAACACGATGAAAGTGCTCTAAGGTCAAGGTCGCAACAGGTAAATTTTAATCCGGAAATTATAATTACCGATGATGGATGTCAGAGATGAAAACATGGCTGCCATGTCATTCATCTTGAAAATTCCTGTGATTCTGTCACCAGATACAATAACAACTGAAGAAACGTCTCATTTGAATATTCATGATTACTGAAGATTACCGGAGATTTACTGTCCTGTCTTTTTACATTCTCAACACAGAGGCTTTTTGCTTAGTTGTTATGGAGGTAGGATCACAGTCGATCATCATTAGATAACAATATAAGGCATTATGGATATATGTAAATACATGAACAATCGCCACAAGTTTGTGCACCTAAAGAGTTGATTGTAAGCACGTTTTATTACAGGATTTCTTTTCTTGCCTTTATGTTCTGAACTTAGAAGTTTCTTGTAAAAGCTTTTATAAATGAGGGATCATAAACGACCACCACGAATCCCTTTTTCACTCTGAACACAGACGTTTTTAAAATAAATGATCACAAAAAGATCACCATTAAATTACAAGCTGGGATACTGAGCAATTACAGAAAAGTACCGGATTTTCTATCTCCTTTATTTTTACATTCAGAGCACCGAGTTTCGCGTCAAGATTTTATACAGGAAAGAACACAGGCGATCACCATTATGATAGGGATGTAATGGCTGTTTGTAGATTGAAAAAATCACCCTGACATTTTACATTCTGATTATTGAGGATTCTTGTGAAATCTAGATAAAAAGCGCAATCACACACAATCACCATATAGATTGAAACTGGTTTGTCAAATACATCCGTCCCTTCTTATATCCATAACTAAGAAGTCTCTAATAAAGACAAAGAGAATAACACCGTTTTCTAAGCACAATTTGCACATAGATTAATTAGAACAAATAGTTTTCTAATATAGTTAATATATAGTGTAATAGTGGTAGTCAGATAGTCGTGATTTCATATTGTCGCAAGCAACAAACATTTACACAATGTAGCACGTTCTACCTAGTAGTTCCATTTAGTTCACCCGTTCAAAGGCACTGTATGACTCAAACCGTTCTTTACAGTTCAATCGAATAATTCTTACTGACGATAGAATCTATGGTTGTTTTTTTTTCGATTCCGTTATCACATATTGAATAATAGGCTGTAGTTAGCAGCCTAATTAGTCCTCAATTCGTCGCCTACTCAATTAAAATCTTATAAATCTATATTCGTTTAGAAAAAAAAATTATTGAACGCGATTACCGACTTGATCATTTGAATGGTTATTCTAAGGTGAGAATTTATTGTGGCAGCAAGTGGTTTAATAGTTCTGTAAAGACAGTTATTCTAGGTAATGTTTAAATTCTCGATTATATCGTGGTTTACCTAAGGATATTAAACGTATCATTGCATGAAATCCAGAATTCTGTATTAGCAAGAAGTCGTTTTCATATCCTTGCCTCATCTAAACCACGATTCCATGTGATAATGGTGGAAGCTGCATACGTGCCATTTACTCTTATTCATTCCATATGCCAGTAACTCAGATTGTTAAGTATCCCTTAGAAGACGATTGTCACCTATTTTAAGACCATCTATCAGAGGAAAAGACGACATCCGCTGTTTTTGATGTCGATAAATGAATCGATAAGCCGAGCTTGATAATTTATTTGACATTAGACTAAGCAGACTGATTTTAGTTATTCCCGCCTTTTTACTTCCAAAAATAAATATGGAGGATAGAATTCTTTTTTTCCAAATAATGAGGGTGTCAGTACTGGTAATTGGTTCGAGAAACAAGACTCTTTGTGTTTCCGTTTTCCATTTCAGTGACATTTTTTGAGATTTTATTAACAACAGGAATTTGAAAGGTTTCTAATGGAATTTAAATTAGGTACTTTACGAAATGTTTCAATACAAATTTTTGTTCATTTTATTCCGCCTTCTGTAGTCCTTGCTTTTTGTTTAAAACACAACGTTCATCATTGTATGTTATTATATGACTTCAATATCATTGCAGAAAACATAATTGTGTTTAAATATCAATTTGCCTCTTTGGCCAAATTTAAAAAAATTAATAATTATAATGTTTAAGTGATACATATAAAAACAATTGTCAATACTCTTTGGGGAAATTCATATTTGTAAAAGATTGTCTTAGAGTTTCCGTTTTCGTGTTTCGTTAACGTTAAATTGTGTTTTTCTAATTATATAATTTCACATCTTATAGGACTGCGTGTTTCCTCTCAAATACAAACCAATCAGCTCTGAAGATATTGATTAACAAAGAATCCATGCTCTGTTTGAAAATGATTTCTAAAGAGTCAACGCCGAGTTAGATGCTTATAACGCTAAGTTTGATGCTGATAACACCAAGTATGTTGCTGATAACTGACAACCCAAAGTAAGATGCTGATTACTTCGAGTTTGATGCTGATAACACCAAGAATGTTGCTGATAACTCATTGTTTGATGCTAATAACGCCAAATCTGGTGCTGACAACTCAAAGTAAGATGCTGATTACTTCGAGTTTTATGCTAAGAACGCCACGTTTGGTGCTGATGATTTCATTTTAATGCATATGTACTTAAGCGAGAACGATATTCATTACAATCATACCACGAGGCCAGCAGTCTGAATTGTGATCAAATGTCCCAAGGTTTATCAGAACTCGTCTTAATAAGAAGGTTGGCGATATAAATATACCACCGTGAAAATAGACACTACCATTACTTTGAAGACGAGAGTTTAAACGGCCACAGGTCTTAAAGTTGGCAGACTGATTTAACTAGCATGGAAATCAAATAATTCTTTGAATGTGAACAACACGATGAGACATTTTATCTTTTATTTATCACGAAAGTATTCATTTCTCGTTGTGATGTTCAATATCTAAGACTCCGTTTATAGGTTTGTTACTATTAGGTCTATAGCTATTATCCATTATTCTGCTCGGGTTTATGCTTCTCTTATATCGTTCGGATTAAACTTGAACGTAAAGCTACGGTTTGTTGATGTTAAGGATCCCTTAACGGTTGGAAATCGTAAAGGCTACGTAGCTGTGATAACATTATTTCCCTTGTCGCACACTACGTTGGTTTATTTGTCTTGTAGTTTCGGAGATTGTAACGTTATTTGTTATGGTACGTACTAACGTCCAAGAAACTGTACGAAATGACTTGGACGTTGTACGAAACGACTTGAAGTGTTCGTTTCAAGAAACAATCAGTATGGTTACTTAATTTCGTTGTTTTATTTGTGTGTCCCGCCAATCAGCCACAATGAAACATGACGCTGACTATGTTCAATAATCTATCATATAATAATCTGGTCAATGACAGTCAGTGAATGGCCTGTATTAACCTGATCTAAATCATGTTTAATTAGGAATATAATCTCTTGGAATTATTAATAACCTTATGTCTGATAAATAACTTGTTTAGTTTAATTATACACGTCGTAACTTCGTAACAGTCTTTATAAATGGTATAAACGTGATATGCTCAATTTTAAGAAGTTCAACAACTTTTCGTCTGAAGAAAAACTTTTTCAATTTTTCGTGATGTACTTCGAAGCATTCAAAACAGTAGGACTACTCTAGCACCAAATTTTCGGTTAGTTGTTACTCTAACCGTTGAACAGTCAAAACCTAACTTTAAGGAGTTCAAGAACTGATCGCCTGAACAAAAACGTTTTCAACTTTCTGTTATGTATTTCGTTGAACAATCAGAGATTAACATCACACAGTTGAAAAACAGAACGTCTGAATAAAAACCCTTGTTCGATTCAAGATGCAATTGAAAAGCGACCTATGTTATTCGAAACAGTTACTCAAAATAGCATTATAACAATTGTTTATATAAAGTATACTATTAAACCAATTAGTTTATTAGATTCACCACCTACATGGATGCACTGTAGACATTTTATGTGTATAAAAGGAATTATTGATGGTATAACTACAACAATAGCTAATTGGTGATGCAAACCTGTTTACTTTAATTTCAATAATAACTTAATTACCGTTAAAGGTACTCTCCCAATACGGAAATTGATAAAATGAAAATATAAAACAGAACTCCAAATTATTAATAAAAGCCGTGCCAGAATATTCGTGTATGATCCAGCGAGGTAGGCGTGGCTTGAAGCCCGTGATATTTATGTAATATTTTTAACTTTATATTTATACTAAAGTATTCCGTCTTGGTTTTCAGGATCAGTGTTTATCTAATGTGGATTCTGAATCAGACTGTGTACATTGAGCTATTTTCTGCACCGGAAGCAGTTTAAGGAACCGGAAACGAGCATTGTGTTTACGATGTTACCGGAAGTTAAAGACTTGAAAAATCGATCATACCAGACAAACGAGGAATAAAGAAATAAAATGTAATTGTTCAACCATGTTTTAAGAAGATAGATTGATATATAATGGGGGTTTTTAATGAACGTATGAAGGTTATTAAAATAAAAGAATATTGAATATAATAGATGATTTTGTAAGACATTATCATTCAAATACGACGATATTTCGATTACATCAGTTGAATTCGATTAACGAAAATGGGGTTTTAAAATTAATGAATTACTGTTTTGAATATAAAATTACTGAGAAGCACATATAGTTGTAATTTTGGTCTTTATCTGATTATCTATATCAGTGGTTCCAACCTCTTTCAGCCTTCACAACCCTTCAGCAATCACCTGGACCTTTCACACCAGAAATTTGTTTCATCCACATTTCCAGCATGTGATGATGTGAGATGCTCTTTCAATTCAAAATAA